ATGCACCTGTGCTAGATAATATTGAAAAATACAACCTATTATTTTGTCAACATACAAGACACTTAAACAAAATTGAATTTTTGTCTTATTAACCCTTATTTGTCAACTCAACCTAGATCTTTGAAGAAGATCAGTGCCTGGCTTTTACTACATAAAAAATCCTTGTGTTGTGTATAATTCATGACACGAAAGAGTGTATGTACGGATAAAAAATATACACGATACGGTAGGAAATAATTTAGAAAAAGTAGCAGATACGCACCACAGCAATGATGTATGGTCTTAGAATAATTTACAGACATATTTATCTGAAAAAAGTATTGTTTTATTGTTTATTGACCTGTTTACACAAGAGTAGCAATGTTGTGGTGCATACTGTAAGCGTATTATATTTAAGCTCAGGTTTTATTTTTCCGGCACCCAAAAACATTTTAGCGCGAAAATTTATACACCGCGAATAAACCTGTCATTCATTCAGTCTAGCCACGCTCGCCCCTGAGTTGTTACCATAACACATTAAGTTTGAAGACAGAAATCTACGGGAATCTTAAAATGACGACTGATAGTAGCATAAAGAATCATACTTAACTGTCGCTGTAATGGATTTCCCAAAACATAATTAAATAATGAGCGAAATCCCATCGCCGAATTAGCGAAAACAGCAATGTGTGTTGTGGCCGCCATGGAAATTGGTCACATGACAGATGGTTTGATACAAAATGAAACGACTCAGAAAGAAATAATACAGCAGTATTTTAATTTATTCATTAAGATTTTATTTACCAGTACATCATGAAGCGTATAGTCACTTAACACTCAATCATCTCATTCACAACAACCCGGCTTGTTTGAAATCACAAAGAGCTTCATATACAGTAGAAGTTAATTCGTCAGATCGTCAGAATTCGGAACATAAGACTGATGTGTTTTTCATCTCTTCCGTGAGCAAACGGATTACTGTGTACTAGTATATCGCACAGATAGGGATTTCCTGTGAGTAAGCAATAAACGCCGCCCTGACAGGTTAAGCCACTCTGTTTGTTTTCACTGCTATTAGTGGCGCTGACCAAAGAGACAGCTGGCAGTTCCGGCAATTACTGATTAGCTTGAATAATTGACCTTGCGATGTAGTCTAAACTGTCAATTCAGCGAAAATTGCACCAGCGAAAATAAGTGCGTTTACAGTATATGAATTGCTGATACTCCATTAAATTCCATTCAGTACTCTAAATGTACTCTTAAGATTTTCCAGTACTCTTATTTTGAAAAATACGGAGTACATACACCTGTTGTTGAAAAATTATCTGGAGCTACATGAAAGAAGTTAAGTATATTTCTACCCACTGCAAAGTTATGGGTGCTTGTTCAGCTTAAGAGAATTTCTTACATTAAACGTGTTGCCTCAGGTTCTAAATACAAATTAGAGGACGGATGGCAAAGGGAAGGAAAACATATGACTGGTAAACAAAGTTGTCAGAAATACTTTTGCTTTTACTGGACACATGGCTCCAGTAAATGATCAATTTGGAAGGAATGATGTAGCTGCGTCTCGATAATGCTTTTGAATGGACAATGCCTTTTACAGAGTGGTCAAATGTAACATGTTGTATTTGGATAACTGTTTGTTTCTAAGTGAAGTACAGACACTAGTACTGTTTGCATCGATTCCCATCGGTGGCTACCATGTCGTCACGGGCTGCTGATTAGGTCCCTTACTCCGAGAGGGTGATTTCAAATCCCAGATGGCACTCCTCCACCAAAAGTACTAGAATTTGTGTTTTACTGAAAGAACTGTTCTCCAAGATAAAATTATTATTCTCATGTTACTATTTGTCATATTTACAGGGATTGAAATGGAAGTATGATTTCATGGGAAAGTGATGCTTTTGTTGTAATCTTCTGATTTTATGATGTTGTATTGAGTTTTGAAAAGAAAAACATCATCAAACATTGCCAGTCTCCCAACTTATTGTTGTAGGTAGATTATCCACAGTGATAGATAGATAGATAGAGTGTAATGACGTGTCAGTGTTGGCTCTTTAGCTGCCTTAAGTGTTCATTGATGTTTTGGAGAAATGTGACGACACAGTGTCTATCTTCTCATTCCCCAAACGAAGATAGCCCAGCAAGATTACCATAATATCAAGCGCAAATATGTCAATGATTCCCCCACAGTAAAACTATTTCTGATACTTGACATTAGTGAGATACTGTAAACGTATTATATTTCGCGCAGGTTTTATTTTCGCGCTTTTCGCGCAAAACATTTTAGCGCGAAAATTTATACACCGCGAATAAACCTGTCATTCATTCAGTCTTGCCACGCTCGCCCCTGAGTTGTTACCATAACACATCAAGTTTGAAGACCGAAATCTACGGGAAACTTAAAATGATGACTGATAGTAGCATGAAGGATCATACTTAACTGTCGCTGTAATGGATTTCCCAAAACATAATTAAATAATGAGCTAAATCCCATTGCCGAATTAGCGAAAACAGCAATGTGTGTTGTGGCCGCCATGGAAATTGGTCAAATGACAGATGGTTTGATACAAAACAGATTACCATGAAACGACTCGGAAAGAAATAATACAGCAGTATTTTATTTATTCATTAAGATTTTATTTACCAGTACATCATGAAGCGAATAGTCACTTAACACTCAATCATCTCATTCACAACAACCCAGCTTGTTTGAAATCACAAAGAGCTTCATATACAGTAGAAGTTAATTCATCAGATCGTCAGAATTCGGAACATAAGACTGATGTGTTTTTCATCTCTTCCGTGAGTAAACGGATTACTGTGTACTAGTATATCGCACAGATAGGGATTTCCTGTGAGTAAGCAATAAACGCCGCCTGACAGGTTAAGCCACTCTGTTTGTTTTCACTGCTATTAGTGGCGTCCAAAGAGACAGCTGGCAGTTCCGGCAATTACTGATTGCGCGAATAATTGACCGCGCGATGTAGTCTAAACTGTCAATTCCGCGAAAATTGCACCACGCGAAAATAAGTACGTTTACAGTAGTAGGTAGATCAGATTATTGAATACAGATAGTGCAGGCTCAAGTTGACAGCACCACATACTTCACTGTTAAAGTAGAACAAGACAATGTGATAGTAGGTAGCCCAGATTACTAAATACAGATAGTGCAGGCTCAAGTTGACAGCACCACATACTTCACTGTTAAAGTAGAACAAGACAATGTGATAGTAGGTAGCTCAGATTATTAAATACAGATAGTGCAGGCTCAAGTTGACAGCACCACATACTTCACTGTTAAAGTAGAACAAGACAATGTGATAGTAGGTAGCCCAGATTATTAAATACAGATAGTGCAGGCTCAAGTTGACAGCACCACATACTTCACTGTTAAAGTAGAACAAGACAATGTGATAGTAGGTAGCTCAGATTATTAAATACAGATAGTGCAGGCTCAAGTTGACAGCACCACATACTTCACTGTTAAAGTAGAACAAGACAATGTGATAGTAGGTAGCTCAGATTATTAAATACAGATAGTGCAGGCTCAAGTTGACAGCACCACATTGGTCACTGTTAAAGTAGAACAAGACAATGTGATAGTAGGTAGCCCAGATTATTAAATACAGATAGTGCAGGCTCAAGTTGACAGCACCACATACTTCACTGTTAAAGTAGAACAAGACAATGTGATAGTAGGTAGCCCAGATTATTGAATACAGATAGTGCAGGCTCAAGTTGACAGCACCACATACTTCACTGTTAAAGTAGAACAAGACAGTGTGATAGTAGGTAGCCCAGATTATTAAATACAGATAGTGCAGGCTCAAGTTGACAGCACCACATACTTCACTGTTAAAGTAGAACAAGACAATGTGATAGTAGGTAGCCTCGGATTATTGAATACAGATAGTGCAGGCTCAAGTTGACAGCACCACATTGGTCACCGTTAAAGTAGAACAAGACAATGTGATAGTAGGTAGCTCAGATTATTAAATACAGATAGTGCAGGCTCAAGTTGACAGCACCACATACTTCACTGTTAAAGTAGAACAAGACAATGTGATAGTAGGTACCTCAGATTATTAAATACAGATAGTGCAGGCTCAAGTTGACAGCACCACATACTTCACTGTTAAAGTAAAACAAGACAATGTTTTTGTTACGAACAACACACATTATTTACCTGTATTCTTTCTGACATCACAATAATGGTCTGCAGTTGTATAATTTTCTGCCTGTATTTAAGGTCAAAACTTTCAGTAAATCACTTTGAGGTTATAAACCGCCATCACAGTAATGCCGCCTTTTTTTCATATATCTTTTTAGCCTTGAGAGTCTTTATCATTTGATGGTTTGTCATTTGAAATTTTTATTCCAGAAATAATATGTTTGTAATTTGGTGAAAATGGATTTTAAATTCTAATACATGACAAGCAAAGACTGGCACTTGTAGAATGTATTAACAAGATGCAGGGCTCCAGATAATTTTTCATGGTCAGGAGTATGTACTCCTTATTTTATCAATACAGGAGTATTGGAAAACAATAAGAGTACATTTAGAGTACAGAATGGAATTTAATGGAGTATCAGCAATCGTGTGTTTTGTTTCATATATGCACCACAACCTTGCTACTTCTTGTGTAAACAGGTCAGTAAACAATATAACGATACTTTTTCAAATAAATCCGTCTGTAAATGATTCTAAGACCGTACAACATTGCAGTGGTGCGTATCTGCTACGTTTTCTTACTTATTTCTTAAGGCATCTTGCTTATTTTATATCCGTACATATGCCCCTTATCTGGAGGCCTGAGATGTAAACATGAACACTGGAGGAAATGAAAATCAGTTTCCTTCATTTCTTTTCAGATTGTTTAGATGTTCGAGACAAGTGAAAATTATGAACATGTTTATGGAATATTTCACTAACTGCTCATGATGCAGTCGGATTATAAGTTTTAAAGCCTTATAAACTACAAATAAATTATTAACAATCAGTTGTTTTGTCTCAGGTGAAGAAAGAGTCGCCCGATAAAGTAAATGGAGAAGGTAAAGTACCTTGTTTTCTACCTAACTTATATACCTTGTTCCACCACATTTGCAGGCAGGTAAAGTTTCCATAGTTTGTTTCAATGAATAGAGTATTCCCAGTGATCATTGCCTCACAGGGCATCTGGGTAGAGCAGACTCAAGTGTTTCTCACCCTGTTGGCCTGTATGATGTTGTGGATAAAATTTGATCAGTGTGGTGCAGACTTTAGCTGATTTGCTTCTACAGAGAAATATTAACTCCACTAATTCCCCTTTAGTCTATGGTCCCAATATTGTATTTCTTCTTCATGTGTTCAGGAGACAAGAGTCTGTCAAGGAAGCTGTCAAGTCGTATGAAGACCTTGGTGGAAGACACTCCAGAAAAACCCAGCAAGAAATCTACTGTCATTGTGCCTGACACACCTAAAAGTGGGAAGGTATGGCTGTTGCTAGATATTGCATAGAATTCACTTTGTTTGGAACTTGAACAGGTCGCTGGAAAAGTTTGGTTTTATGAGGGTTTTCTTATTGTGCTCGAGGGGCGAGGGGGTAGCCTAGTGGTTGAAGCGTCCACTCATCACGCCGAAGACCCGAGTTCGATTCTCCACATGGGTACAATGTGTGAAGCCCATTTCTGGTGTCCCCATGGTAAACCAAACTCCTGCCACTCATATTGCTGGAATATCACTGCTAAACGCTCCTCACTCGCTCACTCACTCAATCACTCACTCACTCACTCACTCACTCACTCACTCACTCACTCACTCACTCACTCACTCACTCACTCACTCACTCACTCACTCACTCACTCACTCACTCACTCACTCACTCACTCACTCACTCATCTTGACCGAAACACAAGTCAGTTTGTCATGGGCTGCCCGTCCAGTATCTGAGTCCTGATCCACAAGTGTTTGCAGCTCTATGACTTTCGTAAGTTAGCCTATGATAAGCTATAGAGTTACGACAGGTCAGAATGTTACACACGCTTTGTTGATTGGGACCCAGGACAGTTGGATAAATTCAGTGTCCATCTTTGTTTTTCAAATTGTGCACTACATATCCTGGTGAGCTGTATACTGACATCACACTGATTTTTTATCCCCCGCAACGCGTTTTGCGGGGGGTATTAAAATGGACTCCGTCCGTGCACATTTGTCTTTTCCAGAGCAGAACTCTAAAACCATTCAATATTTCTTCACCAAACTTGGCACATACATGGATCTGGTGGTGTACTGGTGCCTTTTGGTAGTTTTGGAATTCTGAATTAAATATTTTTGGCGTTTCCATGGCAACAAGTTTGACTTAGACTGAAATTGGTGGTTGTGCTCTTTTCCGGAGCAGAACTCTAAAACCGTTCAATGTTTCTTCACCAAACTTGGCACATAGATTGGTCTGGTGGTGTACTGGTGCCTTTTGGTAGTTCTGAAATTCTGAATAAAATATTTTTGGCGTTTCCAACAAGTTTGACTTAGCCTGAAATTGGTGATAATGCTGCTTTCTGGAGCAGAAGTTTAAAAACCTTTCAATTCTCTCCTTCCACTTTTCTATATACACACCTAAATATTTGACATAATCATAACTCGTAGACATAATCATGAAGAGTATTTTGCCATTGCGGGGGATATTGATGACTTTGTCTTCTTGTTTGTTTGGATTTGCAACATAATCCACAGCTTGTAGGATTGATAAGGAGTTAGTGTTGCATAAGCTGTTGGATTAACTGTGCATGACCGTGTTCATTTGTGTCATATGTTGACAACATGAATTGTTGTTCATGCTATACATCACTGGTTTTTCCTGGTCAGGACTCGAATGATTTACAGACTGCTGTAATGTAGATGGAGCATAAAACATCATTCACTCACTTGCATCTCTATCTGTGGTTTAAAAGGTAACAGATGAGAATTGCTGCCGTTGTGAATTGCTTCAACACTATCTCATTACCTCGACAGTTGACTCTCTGGTAATTGTGATCCCCTGATTGGTAGTCTTGCACTGATTTACATTCAAATATTTATCCTCCCATGTAGACTTCTCCACTCAAGAAGCCGTCACCCAAGAAGTCACCAGTCAGAAGCAACATGGTCTTCACACCAAAGAAATCCCCAGTGAAAACAGAAAGCAAGAAAACATCTCCCTCGTCACCTAGTCCTTCAAAGACTTCTCCCAAGTCTACCACCAGTCCCAAGGTGAAAGCCTGATGATAATTGCCACACATTTAGTACAACAGTTAACTTCATAAAACCTAGCAGAATATTGCGTTACATAGGTATCAAAATGTTCATTATCATGATTGCCTGTCTTTATTGATGTCCTGGAACTTCCAGGGTTATGTTTGCAGTGGGATATTTCATTATAAAGGGGAAAAATTATGGATGTCTACTTCTTTTATGAGAAACAAGATGTTTCAGAGTATGTTCTTACTCCTTCTTTGGGTTATTTCATGGGTCGATCAGTACCCAGCACAATGCCCAGGAAATGCCTATGAATGTTTGCAGGTACAAAAGTGCCTCCTGGAGAGTGTATTAGAGACATTAACATGATCTCTGGTTTGGTTTCAGGAAGGAACTCCCAAGCTGGTGAACCGAGCAAGCTACCGGGCGTACCTCCACCGAGAAGGTCCATCAGCCCTCGGCTCCAAGGAAATCCCAGAGGTAAGGCATGAGTTGTACATAGCCGGAGATGGGTCACAGTTTGGATTGTATTGGTACCCTACCGACATATTGCTGGGGGTAAAATTGGTACCGACATTGTGGGGAGGCTAAAATTGGCACCAGACCTATTGCTGGGGCTGGGGAGGCTAAATTTGGTACCCTAACCTATTGCTGGGGTGGGGCTAAAATTGGTACCCGACATATTGCTGGGGTGGGGCTGAAATTGGTACCAACATATTCCTGGGATGGGGCTAAAATTGGTACTGGGGTGTGTCTACGACCTATTGCTAGGGTGGGGCTAAAATTGGTACACGACCTATTGCTGGGGTGGGGCTAAAATTGGTACCCTGACATATTGCTGGGGTGGGGCATATTGCTCGAATGAGGCAGGGTTGTTATCCACATCCAGGATGAGGAAGGATTAGTACAAGGTGTGTTGTGTGGAGGGTCAGGATTACATCAAAATATTTTGGCCCATGTTGGACTTATATCATGTAGGGTCTTGGGTGTGGCTCAACCATGATTGGGTGGGACATTATTGGTACCGTGTAGATTGTTTTGTTAGTGGAGTATCCTGCATTACCCTGCATTACCCTGCAGGTTTGATGGAAGGGGCCTGCTTAGTCCCATGATGGTAGATACAGTCGGCAATTTTCATGCCAAGGAGAAGGTTGATGTACTTGGGGAAGGAATGAGCTGCTACAAAAGAATTGTGATACACATGCTAGGAATTTAAGATTGTTTCATCTAAGATGAATTCCAACTTTCTAAAACATTATCATTGTTGAGAAAAGAATTACCAGCCTTGTTTTCTCCAAAAGTTATGAATCTGTGGAATATGAGAATCCTGTAGGGACTCCGTGATTTTCTCTATGAATGTTCCCCAGGGAGCTGATAACTGTCTGGAGGGCCTGACATTTGTCATTACCGGGGTACTGGAGTCACTGGAACGGGAGGACGCCAAGAGTCTTGTAGAGAAGTATGGCGGCAAGGTCACTGGTTCTATAAGCAAGAAAACCAGCTACATTGTAGTTGGGAGGGATGCTGGAGAGAGCAAACTAAATAAGGTGATTTTACCACTGTTGTATTTATTATTACTTTTAGTAGTACCCGTCTGTGAAGATCTAGAACTATGACAACTATATTTGTAAAAATGTGAAAGCCCAATCTAACTTGTCCATTTGTGATTTCCAGCCAACAGACAATGCTAAAAGTGAATTCATATGCATGAGGCAGCATAGGCGAATCCTCTCAAGAGAGTGCTTCCGCTGCCTTTATCGGTCAGTACAGAAACCCATTCTGATGTTATGACCTTGACCTTTTCCTTTGATTGATGCAGGCGAATCAGTTCAAGACACATCAGCTTGACGAGGATGGTCTCCTGGATCTGGTTCGAAAGATGCCTGGAAAAAAGTCCAAGTACCTGGTGAAAGCAGAAGAAGATGCCAAGAAGGTGAGAGTTGTCTTCAAGTTGGTGACAAAGGTCATAACAACATGTATGATTTTGGTAACTTTTTCAGCATTTCAAATTTGAAGGAACCCTTTTGAACACTTTGGACAACAGTAAGGGTGTATCCGAGAAACTGATGTGAAACACTGCTCACATGAGAGTATAGGTTTCTGCTCAAATTGTTTATGTCAATATGATACAGGTTCTATGAATTAGTGAGCAGAAGATACTCCCAATGGGTCTTCCAAACTGGTACTGGAATAGAATGGAGTGGTCATTGTGTGTATGTAGTTGTACCGTGTAGATGTAGCATGTTACTCATGCCTATACTCAGTGAGTCTCGGGCTGCTTTCAAATGATGGGAATATTGTTGTGGCCAAAAACAACATTCACTCAAACACCATGCACTCAAACATGATGCATATCTCAAGTATTTGACATTGTGTATCCTGTTTCCTAATATTGTCAACCATTGTTTACACTTATGTTCATTTGTCATTTAAGATGAATTTTAATGATATATCGTCTGCTCTTGTAGGAAAAACTAGAAAAACAAAAACTGGAGAAGAGAAAATCAGAAGAAAACAACAATGTTCCACATAAAAAAGAAAAACATTCTGAGGAATTAAGCAAAAAATCTTCAAAACCATCACCATCCAAATCTGACCAATCAGGAGAGTCGTTACTGTGGGTGGACAAATACAAACCAACCAGTATCAGGCAGGTCATTGGTCAACAAGGAGACAGAGCAATGCCAAGAAGCTTCTCGGTTGGCTGCGGCAGTGGCATCATAACAGAGCCAGTGGAACCAAGCCGCAAGGTGATTACAGTCATTGATGTTGTCTTGGCAAACACTCCAGTAGTTACACGCTGCACTGATAAAGTTGAGCTGTTACTAACAGTGAAATAACTTGCACGTCTATCAATATTCATAAAGAAGTTCTTGTCGAAGAAAATCTTATGACAGTGAAGAAAAATAAGCCTGACAGTCAAAGGGTTCTGTGTCATCCACTCAGTGTTACAAGTTTAAGGGCCTAAATACTAAAACAACAAACTCACCCGATGAAACTCCTCCCCATACTTGTCTTCTTTCAGGTAAATTCTTTGGGAAAGATGATGGGTCTGGTTTCAGGGCAGCTCTTCTCTCTGGGCCCCCGGGTGTTGGGAAGACCACAACGGCAACACTTGTATGTCAGGTGAGGTCTGCAGCATCAGCATCAACAGAGCCATTACTTAGTCCTGTCTTGGCCTTTTCTCCATTACTTAATGAATCCTGCTGATAGGTACTAGTTTTTCTGACTCTAATGGAATTAATCTGTATATCAAAAATAATTATTGATCCTTAGATTGATTGAAAATGTTTAAACATCTGAATGTCAGGAGCCTCTAGTTTAGGAAAGCTGAAACTGTAAGTGATTATGATCATGCATAGAGTTTAGGATGAAGAGTGTTGGATTGTAACTATTTACATATACACAGGTCCTTGCATGACTTCTGCTTCACGGAACTACTTTGTATGCCAATGTGTTACTGTGTCTGTGTGTACCAAAACATGGGTCATGTCAGCTAGTTGGCCACAAATGTTGGGACTGTGTCCCTCACAGCTGTTCCTTGCACAATTCATGTCTATGTTCATTCAATGTACAGCTGTATAACTCTTTCAGGAACTTGGGTTCTCCTATATTGAGCTGAATGCATCAGACACACGGTCAAAAAGAAGCTTGAAGGAATTTGTGGCAGAGGCACTGAACAACACAACACTGGTGGACTTCATGGGTGAGTGAAAGACAAGTACAAAAACATAGAATACATCACAGCAGTTCCACATCCAGGCTATAACGCATCCACATCCAGGTCATAACGCATCCACATTCAGGTCATAACACATCCACATCCAGGTCATAGCGCATCCACATCCAGGCCATAACAGTTCCACATCCAGGCCATAACAGTTCCACATTTAGGCCATAACACATCCACATCCAGGTCATAGCACATCCACATCCAGGTCATAGCACATCCACATCCAGGTCATAACACATCCACGTCACAGGAGTTCCACATCCAGGCCATAACAGTTCCACATCCAGGCCATAACAGTTCCACATCCAGGCCATAACAGTTCCACATTTAGGCCATGACATATCCACATCCAGGTCATGACCATAACACATCCACATCCAGGTCATAGCACATCCACATCCAGGTCATAACACATCCACATCCAGGTCATAACACATCCACATCCAGGTCATAGCGCATTCACATCCAGGTCATAACGCATCCACATCCAGGCTATAATGCATCCACATCCAGGTCATAAGGTTCCACAACCAGGCCATGACAGTTCCACATCCAGGCCATAACACATCCACATCCAGGGCATAACACATCCACATCCATGTCATAGCACATCCACATCCAGGCTATAACTCATCCACATCCAGGCTATAACGCATCCACATCCAGGTCATAAGGTTCCACATCCAGGCCATGACAGTTCCACATCCAGGCCATAACACATCCACTGTTCCAAGCCGTAACACATCCACATCCAGGCCATAACACATCCACATCCATGTCATAGCACATCCACATCCAGGCCATAACGCATCCACATCCAGGTCACACCTAGTGAAGTGAAGTGGACTAAGATTAAGGTGTTAAAATTCAGTATAAGAAATGTCATGCAGGACACGATCTCTGAACATTTTCTAAGAAGTGTATTTGGTGGTGTTCTACAATTACAATATCTTCCTGTTCAGGTCCGTCCAGGGCTGACACAGGAGGCCACAAGCACTGCATCATCATGGACGAGGTGGATGGCATGGCTGGTAACCAGGACCGGGGTGGCATCCAGGTCAGTCGGGTCAGAATGGCCACACAATTAAAGCAGTAATAGATACAGCAGTAGTAGTCCTGTGGATGAAGGAGCAATGTTGTGATCTTGCTTGTGTGTGTTGTAAGCTGTCATCACCAGTCACTGGTTGCTCCAGGGTCCAGCCAACAAAGAGACCTTAGTCCTGCTACTATGTGACAGTACAGGTTATGATCAACTTTCCATTAAGACTGCTTTGTGGATTGGACCATCCTGATGTAAGTCACTGTGACAGAACTGGAGGCATAGATGGCCATGTCAGCCAAGACAGTCCTATTCGCTGTCCCTTAGGTTTGCTGTGTTGATTTTCCGGTTTTTGCAGTGATACTTGATACATGTGAGCACCTGTGCTATGGGTCTCGCCAAAGTGTTAAAAGTCTAAGAAAGAAATATTTCCAAGTTCCTGCCCACATTATATAACTGGCACACAGTGATGTAACCGAAGTAGAGTGGAAGCCCACATGTCTCCATACCACCAGTCCAGTGGGATGCCTTTCGTGAAAAATAGATATTACGATAAGTGTTCCATTTTTCTTCTGCCAGATGGTTTCCCGAATCAGGAAGTGAAGTAGGTCCACATTTGGCAGCCATGTTGGGTATCATTTAGTCACAGAGGATTAAGACGTCCTTTGGAATATTAGATTGGCTATCAATCTGATTAAAATTAGTCAGTATGTAGTATTGGGAAAATCGACGCCAAGTTGAAGTATAACTTTTGTCCAGAAGTAACTAATGAGATTGAAAATATTCTTTGCAGGGAAATATATGTAATTCTTTTTCAGAGAGATGCGTCCTTGGGGTACATATTATGCATTTTCCGGCTGAAAAATGTCCTGTGACAGTTGTATCAATGTTTTTGAATAAAAGATTGTACAATAAATAAACTCTTTTATTTATTATCACGGACCCTACCTCGCGGAGTTACCTCCCTTAAGCATGCGCACCAACTGGGTAGGCTCCTAGACCCGTATCATCATTCCTTCTGCTGTCACGGCCGTGAACAGGCGTGTTTTGAGTAACCCATTCATGAGCCGTGCGGTAGCTGTTAAAAGAGACTATGTCTGAGACACCACCTGTATGTATGGTCTTTATTTGTCTAAAACAAGAACAGTAAAGCTTTACAGTTGGTTGTTTCATAATTGTGACTTTGTATTAATACAAAATCGCGAACTTTCCGTGGTTTACGCATGCGTGTTGCTCTGCCATGGCGGGAAGTTTAAGCGTGCCATAATGATAAATAATATTGCATTATTAAAACCAACTATTACTTTCGTGGTAACCTTCCGTAGTTTTTCAATGTTTTCTCGTGTTTATCTGCTGCTGGCGCCGTTAACTAACATGTTTTTGCGTGTTTGTTTCAGGCCTTTTCATGCTGTTCGGTCTGTGAGGGAGTATCCCCGGGCCGACAGTCATACTAGATTGCGTGGCCTGTCTGGAGAAGACAGGCCATGAGGCTGACTCCTGTCCTATTTGTCTGGCCTTTTCCCCGGGCCCAGAAGAGGCGGGCTGCCGACACCTTGTTCTATCGCTGAAAATCGTGGCGGGGAGGGACCTGGCGCAGGTTCCCCGTCTAAGTCCAAGCGTGTGTCAAAAAGGAAAAAAATCCCGTGGCCCTTCCCCTCTCCTGCCACTTCGAGTGGTTTTGACATGTCACTGATGGAGTCTATGTTTCAGCAGCAGATGGACTCGATGAAGTCCTTCGTTAAGTGAGTCGGTTGGAGGTCTCCGGCAGGAGTTCCTCACCCACTCGGACGGGCGGAGAGAAGTCGAGGGTGGGATCGCCCGGCTCGGCTCGATCCCTCGGCCTTGGGCGTCTGTAGATCCGTTGCCTCTGGCCCGGATCCGGGCGCCTCGGCTGCTCGGAGAGGAGGTGCTCCCAGTCCCCTCTCGGGCTTCTGTAGCGAGAACGTTGAGTATTCCTGGTATTCCGGTCCTTGCGCACACCGCCCCATGAGGCCGGAGGCACCAGTTCTGCCTGGCCTGCCTCCAGCGTCTCGGACGAGGGTCCACGCCGCGCCCGGCTGGCGCTGGCGTGGAGCAGTCTGTCTGTTCTTCCCTTCCTGTGGTTCCTAAGCGTTAGGCAGTCCACGGGTCGGGGTTAGGGTCCTCTTACGGAGGAGACCCAGCCTCTGACTTCGGGCTCGGGCGCCGAGGCAATGGAGCTTGGGGAGGTCGAGGAGCATGGCGGCGGCTTCCGTTTTGCCGGCCTTGCGGGAGGTCCGGCAGAGAATTGCCGAGGGCCTACCCAGGCAGCGGTGCCTGCTGGTTGCGTGGACTCGACTGAGTTCCGCTTGCCTGGCGGCGTTTGCCCCTAGGCAACCCTCACAGGCGCAGCTCCGCATTCTGCCATCGTTGGTCTCGGGCGTGGTCGATCCCCTCTTGTCTGGTGCCGGTAAGGTTTGACTTACCTGAACTTCGTCTTGGCGCTACCAGCTTGGGGAGGATTCCCTGTTCGTTGTACCAATTGTTGACGAATGTGTTTTCACTTCCGTCGCCCTGGGGAGGCTTCGGCTTCCTCGAAGCAGCTCCGGCTGCTCGGCAAAGCGCCTAACTCCACCTTTGCCCTCGCCGCGGAAATCCCCTGCGGCAGCGTGCAGGACCTCGAGGAGGTCTACGGAACGCTGATGCAGCAGGTGCGGGGTGGTGGTCCATGAGGCCTACCTCACCTCGGTTCAGAGGTCGGCCCTGGAAGCGGAGGGCATGCTGGCGGCGTGTCGCCGCGTATGTCGTGCTGCTCCGTCAGCTTTTGAAGTGCAGGCTCACCTGCAGCGCGCGACTCTTTGCGGTCTGCTGCGTCGGCGGTGATGTCGCGCCCAGTCATGGGGATCGCGCCGGCTGTGGCTGTCGGCGTCTAGGTACCCGGCAGCAACACAGCAGACCTTGCTGGCCCTCCCTTTCGTCTGGGAGGCGACCCTCTTTCCAGGGGCCCAGCAGGTCATCACGGGAGGCTGCGCTGCAGCTACCTCCTTCAAGGACTCTAAGGCCTTGTTGGAGCACCCGCGGGTGTCTCGCCCCCGCGCTCCCGTGCCACCTTCCTCCGCCGGGGTGCAGCCTACACCGAGTCTGCCGGCTGGCCGGCGCCTTAGTAGGGAGTGGCGGAGGAACAGGTCCGCCAAGGGTAGGGGCAAGGAGCAGTCCTCGACTAGCTCCCAGCCTTTTGGCGCGGGGAGGTCTGCCCGACCTCCCGTTAACCCATCAGGCTGCCGCTCAAGCCGTGTGTCGCGCCCAGTCAGCTCCGCTACTGGGTCTACACGCTCCTACCCCCATATCCCAGTGGGAGGCCGCCTCTCTCTATTCCTGCCGGAATGGGAGAAGGCTACCAACAACGCTTGGGTGCTGGCCACGGTCAGCATAGGCCATCTCCCACTGTGGAAGCGAGGTCCGCCCGACTTCACCGGCATACGTCGCACTCCGGTGCCGTCATGTCAAGCCAGGGCGGACATATTGCGCGACGAAGTTCAGGCTCTGCTGGACAAGTCCGCCAATCGGCGCATTCCACCGGGAGAGGAACAGGCGGGATTTTTATTCCCGCGTACTTCCTCGTCCGAAGAAAGACGGGCGGGTTCCGTCCGATTCTCAACCTCAAGGGGTTGAATCGCATGCTCGAAGTACCATCCTTCAAGATGGAGACACTGCGCTCGGTGATCTCATCTGTTCAGCCCGGCGATTGGCTCACGTCAATCGACCTAAAGGATGCGTATCTGCATGTACCCATACATCCCTCGTTCAAGCAGTACCTTCGGTTCTCTTCGACGACGGGATGTATTACCAATTCAGGGTGCTCCCCTTCGGCATATCGACTGCCCCAAGGGTGTTCACCAAGCTCATGTTAGTCCCAGCTACCCTAGCTCGCTCGCAGCGAAGGCGTTGTTACCCTTACCTAGACGACTGGTTGCTCGAACACTAACACAGCCAGCGAGTCAAGATGCTACTCACACAGTGATAGACATTCTAACTCGACTGGGGTGGATCATCAACCTCAAGAAATCCGACCTGGTACCCACCCAGGACTTGGTTTTTCTTGGGAGCGATTCCAAACGAACAAGGATCTGGCTTTCCTTGTCGCCCGACCGGTCACCAGAGTTCGGGAGATGGTCTCTTCATTCCTCTCCCAGCCCCAGGCACCAGCACGGACTTGGCTCCGTCTACTGGGCCATATGGCGGCGACGATCTCTGTAGTGTGGCGGCGCGGTTGAGGATGCGTCCCCATACAGCAAGCTTTGGCTCGGCTGTGGACTCACACGGAGGATCTGGGCGCGAGTCTCACAGTCCCCAGTGGTTGACACCTCACCTTCAGTGGTGGACAAATGTCGGGAATCTCACCAGGGGTTCCCCTTGGAAATCCGACACCAGCTCTCACAGTTCAGACAGATCGTCCCTCACGGGCTGGGGGCGTTCTGGGCAGTCTGTCGGCTTTTCGGACTCTGGTCGAAGCGAAGCTCACCTTCACATCAACGTGTTGGAACTGAGAGAGCTGCGGTTGGTATTCGAGCGCTTCAGAGAGCATGTCCGTGGCCAGGTAGTCCGTCTTCAGTTAGACAACCAGACGGCCATGTCGTGACATCCTGAAGCAGGGAGGCATCGCGGTGTCCCCAGCGCTCCTCCGAGAGCGTGGGACTTTCTCCTCTGGAGCGACCAGTACGATTGTCAGGTACTCCTGTTTATCTCCCGGGGCTGGAGAACGTGCGAGCAGATGCGCTCTCGCGGATCCTGGCCCTTGCGACGTGGATGCTTTCGACAGGCAGATATTCAGTAATCTCCCAGTTGTGCGGCGTCGCTCGAGGTGGATCTGTTTGCGTCGGCGGACGCATGAGACACCCGCGTGTTCTGCTCTCGGATACCGGACCCAGGGCGCTGGCTGCAGCCTTCCTACTGGATTGGGCGGGCAAAGTGCTCTGGGCGCTCCGCCATTACCACTCATTCCCGTGTCCTTTCACAGCTGTCCACCCAGCCAGCTCGGCTACTTGTGCTACTGGCACCGCTTTGGCCGTCACAGAGCTGGTTTCCGGTAATTCTCAGGTTTCTGGCTCAGCCTCCTGTTCTATTACCTTTGGCGACGGACATTCTCACTCAGAACGGGCGCCCACCCAAATCCACGGATTCAGTGGATGGCTTGGCCTCTGTCAGGTCTAACCTCGAGGCACGCTGAATTCCTGCAGCAGTTGCAGACACAATTCTGGCTTCGGGCGAGGATTCGACAAACGTTCGAGTATCGAGGATAGGTGGTCCCGCTTCTGCGCGCTGGTGTTCAGATAAGGGGATTGCAGATCCCTTTCTGCAGATTTAGTCCGAGTATTGGAGTTTTGCAAGCTCGTTTGGAAGAAGGCCTGGCGGCTTCGACCATTATTCTCGCGGGCTACTCCACCGCTATTTCCACTTTTCACACCCCTGTCGATGGTGCTCTTCTGGGGCAGCACCCTCTCGTCATGGCGGCTTTCGCTGGCTTTTGAACGGTTCGACCTGCTCTCAGGCTTAACCAGTCCACCTTTGGGATTTGTCGATCGTGCTTTCGATTGGCTGTCCGGTCCCACTTTCTCACACCTATCGGCTATTTCCATTCAGTTGTTGACCTGGAAAGCTGTTTTCTGGTGGCGGTAACATCTGGTCGAAGGGTCGGCATTTACATGCTATGTCGTCCGACCGGCTGACTGTGTTTCACACGGATCGCGGTCAGTATTCGCCTCCCAGATACTTACCCGACCGAATCGGTCGATCCACGCTCCATGTGACAGCTCCTATCGAACTTCCTACTCTTACCCAGCCTTCCACATCGGGACCACTCCTGAGCACTCACCCGTTGGATGTCCGTGGAAGACGGCTCAAAGTCTATCTCAAGCGAACGCGGGGGATCCGTGACGGGTACCCAGCTGTTCTGTTGTTACGATGGCGGGAAGGCTGGTCTCCAGCCAGCAAGCAGACTTTGTCTCGCTGGCTAGTATCGTGTTCCATTTGTGCCGCTTATCAGGCTAAGGGCAAGCCTCTCCTGAGGGGTTGAAGGCTCACTTTCGGTCAGGGCAGTAGCCGCATCAAAGCTTTGCATCGGCACTCCCCATTGAAGAGATCTGCTCCGCCCAGCTATTTGGAGCCGGCCAAACGCGATTATCGCCATTATCAGCTCGATCGCATTCCGTGAATCGCAAACTTTGGCCGTATTGTTCTCTCCAGTGGACAGTGTCCTGCCACCCTGACCGAGTGAGTCTTGGTTTATTGGTTTGTTTTTGACGCCTACTGTACAATACAATAAGATTCCATTATTGACATGTCTCTGCTAATGTGAGCTCACTCAGAGAACCTATACCCCTCTTTCGATTCTCTCTGGGGTTACTGTATCGTTAGTGAGTGGTATTTTGTTTCCCCCTACGGTGCTCTCATGAAAGAAGCCACTTAGTGGGTCGGATTTCGTTGATATTCGCACTACGTGCAATGTCTCATTATGCTAGAGGTCGTCTTTGAGCACAAATCCTCCCTGTCAGTTCCCCTCCCATAATGCCTCTCGCGGAAGCGAAACTGGGTCGAGTGACAGGTGAGTGTTATGGCGTCTGTTCAATTTTTTTCCATGATACGATCGCTATATTTTGAGTGTGCTCATGCATAATATGTACCCCAAGGACGACTCTCTTCAAAGAATTGAAAACCTCTGCAGGTTTGGTTAAGTTTTACCCATTGAGTGTGTACTACAGATAATAAAGGTTGGCATGTCTATGTGTGTCTTGCAGTAACAAGGGTAACTGAAGTGGCGGTATACATGTTCTTGTATATTTCTCTGTAGCTATGGTAATGGATGTGAAGGTGAGGTGAAATTGGGTTTAACGTCATGCTTGAGAATATTGCGCTCATATGACGACTTGCATGCGTGTGTAAGTGCGGCTGCTTGTACTAGCCCAGACTGAAGCTGGTTTTATAGTGCTAGCCCACTGTGATACCATGCCGCAGTGAAGCATGAATACCCCACTCAGACACATTATACTGACTCCGAGCCGACCAGTCCTTGTTGTACCGTAAGTGCCGTGCGCCAGGCAGACTTACATGTACATGTCACTGTAGCAATGGTAACGGAAGTGAAGGTCTGCATGATGTTCGTCAGTCTCACTGTGGTATTGGTTCACAGGGAGCCATGATGTCCATGATCTACAAAGAGGGGTTGAAGATCGCTCCACCTGTTCTTAACGAGATCATCTTGGGAGCCAATCAGGATGTCCGACAGGTGAGCCACAGCATCAAGGGACAGACTCTTTTATTTAAGCTGAAGGGATTGTTTATTGTCTAAAAGCTGTGTTTTTAAAAAAAAACACCATTACCCAATAAATTTTGATGTGCTTGTGTGCAAATATTCAGGAAATATTTTATGAGACCAATGGTTTATTGTACGAACACTCAACGTGATTACACAAAGTAGCCTATAGAGATTGTGTACCTGTATTTCTTTATTTATTGATTGAATGCAAACATCACACAAACATGAACAGTTCTAAAATGAATATTGTCTAAAATGGGTGTTACATCTGTCTTGTTGTTGATTAAACATGTACATCCCTGTTGAGTTTATGAGACATGTTACACGCTTTGGGCAGCACATTTTCTCACACACTCACTCACTCTCACGGACTGACCTCACTCATTCTCACTCCCACACTCAATAACTTCATTCACATCACTTGTACACTTCATTCTCTCCAACACTCACTGATGACTTGCTGCTTCAGGTGATCCATAACCTGTGTATGTGGACGGCCACAGACAAGACACTCACCTATGAACAGGCCAAGAAAGACGCCAAGAATGCAGAGAAGGACTACAAGCTGGTCAGTACACATCATATTTCAAAGGGTATCAGTCTAGCCCACCATTGTAAGTAGGACTGTGCAATATAACCGGTTTACTGGTACTTACCGGTTCAGACATAAAAACAATACGTATTGCGATACGCTGATCGAAAACCGGTATTTTGACATGCATTCGGAAAACTTCGTACCAGGGTTTTCCGAAAGCAAGCCCAGGGCTTCTATGCAGAAAATAGGGGTTTTGACAAGTGAAATTTGACACCAGATAGAAGCCCGGGCTTATATTCGGAAACATGGGCTTTTATTCAGATTTTCAGTGTAATACATGCTTTCGCATTGCAATTTATCGCAATATGAAACTTCCCTGCAATACCCACCCCTAATTTTAAGTACAGGAAGATGAAATCTGATCCTGCATGTACATCTGTGATCTGTTGTTTTCAGAGTCCATTTGATGTGTGTCGGAAGGTGTTTGTTGGAGGAGAGGAGACGGCCAAGATGACGATCCACGACAAGTCTGACTTGTTCTTCAATGACTACTCCTTCACACCACTGTTTGTGCAGGAGAACTACACAAGTGTCATTCCATATTCTGCAAGGTAAACTTCAGGAAAATGGCTATTCATAGTAACTTGTTAAAGCCTGATTGTCATAATTTTTCTTATCCTGACTCATGATCTTTTGCTTATCTCCCTTTCCTTTTCGAATGGTAGTGGAACACTTGAATCCCTTGAAGTTCCCCTTTGCGGACGTAAAATACCTCTCACCCACGAAGTTACCTCCCTTTGTCCTTTTCCTGCGCAAAACAGTCATATGACCAGCCTTACTTATCACTCTCTCCTGATTTTCTGCCCATGCATTTGGATCTGCTGTGAAATCCACATTGTCTTCAGCGGGGAGGTTGGGAGGGCTTCTCGTCATGAGTCAGGATAAGTATAAAAATATCAATTTTACTTGAAAAATTACATATTTATTCTCTTATTTCTTGTCCGAATTCACTTAGTGATGACAGACTTGACAAACAATTTCCTGTGTTTGTAGAGGCAACACATCGCGGCACCTGTCGGCATTGGCTCGTGCAGCAGACAGTATCTGTGATGGAGATCTAGCCGACAGGAAGATCAGATCTTCTCAAAACTGGAACCTGCTCCCAGCACAGGTAGGCTGCTACTACATCCATTGACAATTGTACTTAAGGTATTGTCAGATTAGGAACTAGCATAAGTGCAATCAGACTGATTAAATGAAAAGTGACTTGTGTTTACTGTAAGTATAAATTACTACAGTAACCAATGTTTTGACTCCAGGTTAACAAGATGGTATATATTTCAGGCCATCTTCTCCAGTGTGATCCCCGGGGAAGTGATGCGGGGCAGCTTACCCCATATGGTGCAGTTCCCCCAGTGGCTGGGCAAGAACTCCAGCCGGAACAAGACCGATCGCATCATGCAGGAGCTCCGCACTCACATGAGACTCCAGTAGGTCACCTTCGACATCCAGCTTGTTTCAGTATTTACCTGACTGTCTCTGTTCTGTAGTGGATAGATAGTTTGCCCATGAGTGGAATGTCATAGTTCTATCCCTGGCCGCATCAAACCGTGAGATGTTAACATATGATGCATGTTGTTACCCTACCCGGGCCCTGTTTCACAAAGCTCTCGTAAGCCTAAGATCTCATAACTTTTCTCGTAGCATTCGTACCTCCTATACTGTAACATAGGAGGGATGAAAGCTACGAGAAAAGTTACGAGAACTTAGGCTTACGAGAGCTTTGTGAAACGGGGCCCAGGTATAGATGATGATAACACAAGGACTGGGGTCTGAGTGGGGTTCCCATGTTAACCTGGGGCATGGTATCTCAGTGGACCCTACCTGGCATAGATGATGATAACACAAGGACTGGGGTCTGAGTGGGGTATCCTTGTTAACCTGGGGCATGGTATCTCAGATGACCCTACCTGGCATAGATGATGATAACACAAGGACTGGGGTCTGAGTGGGGTATCCATGTTAACCTGGGGGTGTGGTATCTCAGATGACCCTACCTGGCATAGATGATGATAACACAAGGACTGGGGTCTGAGTGGGGTATCCATGTTAACCTGGGGCAGTGGTATCTCAGATGACCCTACCTGGCATAGATGATGATAACACAAGGACTGGGGTCTGAGTGGGGTATCCATGTTAACCTGGGGCGTGGTATCTCAGATGACCCTACCTGGCATAGATGATGATAACACAAGGACTGGGGTCTGAGTGGGGGTATCCATGTTAACCTGGGAGCGTGGTATCTCAGATGACCCTACCTGGCATAGATGATGATAACACAAGGACTGGGGTCTGAGTGGGGTATCCATGTTAACCTGGGGCGTGGTATCTCAGATGACCCTACCTGGCATAGATGATGATAACACAAGGACTGGGGTCTGAGTGGGGTATCCATGTTAACCTGGGGCATGGTATCTCAGATGATCCTACCTGGCATAGATGATGATAACACAAGGACTGGGGTCTGAGTGGGGTATCCATGTTAACCTGGGGGCGTGGTATCTCAGATGACCCTACCTGGCATAGATGATGATAACACAAGGACTGGGGTCTGAGTGGGGTATCCATGTTAACCTGGGGTGTGGTATCTCAGATGATCCTACCTGGCATAGATGATGATAACACAAGGACTGGGGTCTGAAGTGGGGTATCCATGTTAACCTGGGGTGTGGTATCTCAGATGACCCTACCTGGCATAGATGATGATAACACAAGGACTGGGGTCTGAGTGGGGTTTCCATGTTAACCTGGGGGCGTGGTATCTCAGATGACCCTACCTGGCATAGATGATGATAACACAAGGACTGGGGTCTGAGTGGGGTATCCATGTTAACCTGGGGCGTGGTATCTCAGATGACCCTACCTGGCATAGATGATGATAACACAAGGACTGGGGTCTAAGTGGGGTATCCATGTTAACCTGGGGCGTGGTATCTCAGATGATCCTAACTGGCATAGATGATGATAACACAAGGACTGGGGTCTGAGTGGGGTATCCATGTTAACCTGGAAGTGGTATCTCAGATGATCCTACCTGGCATAGATGATGATAACACAAGGACTGGGGTCTGAGTGGGGTATCCATGTTAACCTGGGGCGTGGTATCTCAGATGATCCTACCTGGCATAGATGATGATAACACAAGGACTGGGGTCTGAGTGGGGTATCCATGTTAACCTGGGGAGTGGTATCTCAGATGACCCTACCTGGCATAGATGATGATAACACAAGGACTGGGGTCTGAGTGGGGTATCCATGTTAACCTGGGAGTGGTATCTCAGATGACCCTACCTGGCATAGATGATGATAACACAAGGACTGGGGTCTGAGAGGGGGTATCCATGTTAACCTCCTGGGGTTCTCAGATGACCCTACCTGGCATAGATGATGATAACACAAGGACTGGGGTCTGAGTGGGGTTCCCATGTTAACCTGGGTGGTATCTCAGATGATCCTACCTGGCATAGATGATGATAACACAAGGACTGGGGTCTGAGTGGGGTTCCCATGTTAACCTGGGGCGTGGTATCTCAGATGATCCCTACCTGGCATAGATGATGATAACACAAGGACTGGGGTCTGAGTGGGGTTCCCATGTTAACCTGGGGCGTGGTATCTCAGATGATCCCTACCTGGCATAGATGATGATAACACAAGGACTGGGGTCTGAGTGGGGTTCCCATGTTAACCTGGGTGGTATCTCAGATGATCCTACCTGGCATAGATGATGATAACACAAGGGGCTGGGGTCTGAGTGGGGTTCCCATGTTAACCTGGGGATGGTATCTCAGATGATCCTACCTGGCATAGATGATGATAACACAAGGACTGGGGTCTGAGTGGGGTTCCCATGTTAACCTGGGGCGTGGTATCTCAGATGATCCTACCTGGCATAGATGATGATAACACAAGGACTGGGGTCTGAGTGGGGTTCCCATGTTAACCTGGGGCGTGGTATCTCAGATGATCCTACCTGGCATAGATGATGATAACACAAGGACTGGGGTCTGAGTGGGGTATCCATGTTAACCTGGGGCGTGGTATCTCAGATGACCCTACCTGGCATAGATGATGATAACACAAGGACTGGGGTCTGAGTGGGGTTCCCATGTTAACCTGGGGCGTGGTATCTCAGTGGACTGGCACTATTGAACTAGTAATAGTCTGGGCCTAGATTTTCGAAGCTCTCTTAGCGCTAAGATAGTCGTAAGTCCCATACATTAACATTAACTTATGACTGTCTTAGCGCTAAGAGAGCTTAGAAAATCTAGGCCCTGGACCAGAACAAGCTGCCAGACATTTGGCATACACATCGCAATAAACATGCAATATAATACTTGGAATGTTTCACTTTGCCTCGCTTTGCCTCACTTCACCTCACGTCGTGTCTCCTTGTCTCACCCCACCGTAGCCAGCCCCGCCTTGCATCACTTCACCTCACGTCGCGTCTCCTTGTCTCACCTCACCGTACCCAGCCCAGCTTTGCCTCACTTCACCTCACTTCGCCTTACATCGCGTCTCCTTGTCTCACCCCACCGTACCCAGCCCCGCCTTGCCTCACTTCAATAATAACCCATATTTGTTTAATGGCTACAATGTGGTTGCACTTGTATTCATCATTACAATAAATCAGTCAATTAGTAGATTTTTATAAATACTGCTAGTGTGTGTTGCTGGCAATGTCCTTGTACTTTCCTCGTCACAAAACTTTCCAGAGTTACTTTCACCTTATTCTAATAGTCCTATAGTATATTTATGTGCTCGGAGACTGTCCTGTCTTCACGTTAACACTTTACCTGTCCCAGAACCTCGGGCGACATGAAGGGTCTAAACATGGATTACCTGCCTGTGATCCGACACGTGATGACCCACCCTCTGGTGCAGCATGGCGGAGATGGGGTCAGGGAGGTCATCGACTTCATGGATAACTACGACATCATCAAGGAAGACTTTGACAACATACTGGAAATAACGAAGTGGCCAAACAGTTCCGATCCCCTCAGTAAACTGGATACCAAGGTCAGTGTCACTCTGATGGTGTAGTTTCACTGTAGATGATGGTTAAAGCAGCCATCTTTGTGTGCACATTTGCCTGTGAGGCTTGTAAGTTTCACTTGTTAAAGGGTGACACAAAGTATGTTATGTAGACCAACAGTTGTTTGGAAGCATCAGTGGCTGAGTGGTTAAGATCTCTGACTTTATGTGCTGGCAATTTGGTGCCTGGCTCTAAGGGTGTGGGTTCAACTTCCAGATGTGACTCAGCCCCCCAAAGTACAAGAATGTGTTCTTTTAAAAAGGAAGTGTGTACTCATTGTGTGTGATATTGTTTGTCATCAGACCTCAGGTATTGCTCATCCATGTTTAATTGGACAATGTTTGTTAAGATGAAAGCTGGCATAAAACACTATTTAATTCAACCCTACACCGTGATGTGTGGATCATTACACTTTTTTCATCCCAACTGTACACTTGCGTTGTCCACCAACTGTAAACCAACAGTCCACTTGTGTTGTAGACAAAGGCAGCTTTCACTAGGACCTACAACAAGGAGTCTCATGTGACGCCTTATGCCACGGGGGTCATGTCTAAAAAGAGGCGTGGTCGAGCCCCTATTGCGGAAGAGGATGACCTCATGGATGGTGAGGACAGGGCAGCGATGGCAGTCAGCTCCGATGAGGACAATGACGACTTGGAGGCTGACACCATGATCAAGGTGAGAGAGAGTGTGGATAAGTGAGGTTTTGTTTTTAACAAACTTTTGCAGACAATTGTGGAAGAAAGTGGTGTGAGTGCTTAGTGTGTGTTGCCCAGTGTTTCTAGTTGATCTGAAAGTATTCCCACACGTAGAGATGTTTAGAATAAATGCAGTTAATGTTAATGGGAGACAAAAATGTATATCTATTGGAATATTAGAATCATAGTATGCAAATTTAATAGGTTTTTGTATTCTCATAAGAAACACATCCAAGTTCAGACTGACCACAGGCCCATGTCCAATTTTCTTAGTCTCAGATGCTCGTGAAGAGCAACATCCTGACATATGATCAGGGTCAAGTGTCTGGCTACAGACCATATACTGAGACATGAAAGAAGGACATTTCAATACCAAGCTGGAATTCAGGTGGCGATCGGTACCAAATACTGTTGGGATTCCTGGGCCTGTATGGGTACCAAGTGATATCCCTGTAACATTGCTTATACCTATAGTCTCTCACTCACTTTACCAACATGCTTCAATCAACTTATTTGCACTGCACCTACGTAAAGGGCTTCCTATTTAAATTACCCTTGTTTTCTGATTGTATTTGTGTGTGTGTGTGTGTGTGTGCGTGCGTGCGTGCCTGTGTGCGTGCCTGAGACTGTTTTAGAACTTGTTGGAATTTAGCTTTGGCTTGTTACAACCTTCTCCCATATAAAAGGATTTAGCATACATTAATACACTATCTGTTCACAGAAGGGGACGTCCAGCAAGACGGCAGGGAAGAAGGGAGGTGATGCTGCAGGGAAGAAGGGAGGTGATGCTGCAGGGAAGGGGAAGGCTGGGGGGAAGGGGAAGGCTGGCGCTGGGGGGAAGGGGAAGGCTGGCGTTGGAGGGAAGGGGAAAGGCAAGGGGAAGGGCAAGAGCTGAGGGGTGGACAGGGTATCCAACCCAAAGCCCTTGATCCACAAGGGGAAATACCTACATTTGCTACAAAAATTGTGAATGATTCATGTCATTATTGATAATTCAGTCATGGATTGGAATATGTTTGATACACTGATGGTGTTGGCCATTCTATGGAGCTTGATTAAGTACGGACAATCAGTGTGGGTAGAGGCTCCATGTTGTTTACTTAGGAGCAGTACCGTGTGAAGTATTGACAGTGTAACATGACTGGTTAGGACGGTACAGTATGTACACATTTGCTGTGGACTCCCATGCAGTTGTAGCAGGATTGTACTCCTCTAGTGCATGATGAAAGTATTCTCTTCTCTTACATCTGCCTGAACCGATGATGAATACAATTACTGACAATTTATTGCACTTTGTTAGTGCTTATTGATGCAATCAAGTGCTAATCCTGCATGATCATGTTTGCTGCTTCATGGACGGGCGTTTCAGACCTGGATACTTTAGAAAACAATTCTGTGAGTTGTAGGAGACACGTGGGGGAATTCTCTGGAATGTGAGATGTGAAAACATCTTGTGAGTTGTGAGGGCTTAGCATAAGCCGGATTTGTAAATATGTACACTAAGAAATAAAGCCAGCTTTATACATCCTATGTGGGGTTTTGTGCTAGTATTGGGAGGCTGAATGTTGCAGTTACTGTGTTAATGTTCTTCATTCAGAAATAGTTACTTTCGCAAACATGTACAGGATCTTGTCCAATGAAAAACTGCCCGCTGATCACATGAACATTTCCTGATCAGTGGATAGAGGACATGAAATTGTAAAATAGACAAATTGTGATACTTAGCTTTGGTTTTAAGTAAGATTGGGGATTTGTAAAGTACTAGTAATCACCCCGTGAAGATACAGGTTAAAATTGGTCTTCAGTAACCCATGCTTGTTGTAAGAGGCGACTAACAGGTTCAGGTGGTCAGGCTCACTGACTTGGTTGACCACGTGTCATCGTATCCCAACATGTGTATAGTCCGTTTGGCTCAAAGCGGACCGATGAATTGCAATCTAACTTTCGAAAACTAATAAACATAAAATACTCAATGAAACTTGCTGATCATAATCAAAACATCATACCCTCTGAGAGGTTTTGCAGAATTTTGTCCTAAAAATAAAAAGTTGTTTAACAATCTATCATTAAAATATTGACACAGTTCACTATTTGTTATGAGGGAGGAGTGCAGAGAAAGGGACAGCCAGGTGTTCGAGAACGGATGGAGACGGCACAGCACAGGTTAATGAATAAATAACTTTGTCTGAACATGCTTCTCGAACATCTGGCTGTCCCTTTCTGATGTTTTGATTATGATCAGCGTTTCATTGAGTATGTTATGTTTATTAGTTTTCGAGTTAGATTGCAATTCATCGGTCTGCTTTTGAGCCAAACGGACTGTAGATTGCTTATGCTGTTGATCACTGGATTGTTTGGTCGAGACTCTGTTGTTTACAGACAGCCGCCATATAGCTGGAATATTGCTGAGTGTGATGTTAAACAACAAACAGTAACATAATCAGTACGTGTAGTTACTGCAACATGCAACAATGCTGGACTTCCATTATTTATGAGGTTAGCGTTTGTATTCCAGTAATGCCTTGTCACTTGCCTTTTCTGATGTGGCATCTCCTTTGATTGAATGAAAGCCACTGTCCAGCACTTTAACACCTCTGTAGTACAGGATATTTCAGTTACATCACCATATTTCAGCTTCAAGAAAGCAGAGACTGATAGTGGTCTAGCCGTGTTTGCCATGACACGGAAAACCTGCATAATTGATGCACGAATTATCTCAAATATGCAGTGAATTTAGAAGCTTGTGTAATTGTTGACGCAGTGTTATGGGGCCCTTAGATTAGATAATCTAAACATCTAAAACTAAATGTTTGCCAGTTAACTGCTCAGATCTGAGTAAATACCTGACCTGCCAACAATCACAGTTGATGTCTTGATGAAAGTTCCAAACTGAAATTGACTCCCAAAACATGCCCATGACTCCCCTCTCATGACACCAAGGAGTCATGATGTCTCCTAAATTTTTTTGCCAAGGGCAAATACCTGTCTAGGCGCTGATCACTTTGGTGTAACCCACTTGTGCAGGAATTAGGTTGGTGCTGACAAACTCAAAAGACAAATCTCAGATTTGAGAAAAAAACAATCCTAGGATTATGAAGTCTGTGTAGCCAGTTTGTCATTTGCTGTTTGTTAACTGACCCTTGAAGATCCAGGGTAGAACTGGTCACATCACTCCTGACATGATGGCTGTGTTTGGCGTTGATGGGCAAGGTATTGACACAAACTACTTGTGTGGTAGCAGAACATTATAAATATTCCTGTCTGGCACTGCGCTGTTCTGGTGTCAGAATTGGTTGTCTTGCATAGATGTCATCAAACTGCGACCACTACAGGGAAGGTCTATAACTTGATTGTTTGTTGCCATAAGTGGCAATGGTGTTTCTATGGACAAGCAACAAGCTACGTCACACTGCGAGGTACCAGGCTGAAACATACATATAGCTTTCCATCTTCCCCCAGATATGTCGAGTATAACTTCCTCCAGGGCAATGTCTACAGGGAGTTTCTGACTTCTGCACTGAGGGGAAATGATAAGCATCGATCAGGTTGCCTGGCCTTTGTGAAGTGAACATTGCTGGCCATTTTTCTTGAATATTATGTCAGGTTTCTTGTAAATTTCATGTAATTGAAACATTTCGACCATATTAAAACACTCTCTTTCTGGTTCAAATCCCAAAATTCATTCACAAGATAACCAATTAAAAACTTGCATGTGACAACAATATTTGCCAGTGAGTATATATGTCACTTATCCAGTAGACTATTCTGGTGAACTGACCAGTTGAACGAGTTTGGTTCCCTAAATGTATGCCAGTGTTTCCAAATCGGTAAAACATGTAAACGACCACTGTGGTTAGTTGGTTGTTGTTTAAACACCACGCTCAGCAATATTCCAGTTATATGGAGGCAGTCTGTAAATAATCAAGTCTGGACCAGACAATCCAGTGATCAACATCATGAGCATCTACCATTGTGGATATAAGCAACAGAACTTGACAGATGGAATGAAATATTTTATTTGGCAGCACCAACTTACCAGACAGTGCTGACGTTGCCTTACATCACAGGTAAGATCAAGCAGGTTACTCTCACTGGAGACATTCAACACCAAGCAACTGTCATAACAATGTAACATCATAAGGCAATAGTGGTCAGGGAATTCCTCGAGCAGGATCAGTTTATAAACATACACATGATAGAAAGGAAATAATTAAGAGTATTTTGTCCTTGTAGACTAGATTTGTCATAAATATTGTCAAAGTAGAATCACCCAAACTAATCCTGGAGTTTGGTAATGGCAAAAGCATAATCAGTCTTTTCAGACAAGTGGTTCTTGGGGCTGTGGGTTGTTTTGAATCAGTGTTCGAGATTCTGAGATGTGTGAAGGATCCATCAGTCCAGATTTTGAGAGAATGAGAAACTCAATCCTGATAAAGCATGCCCGCAATAAAGTATTCCTTAGATGAATAGCACTATCATTAATAATGCTGGCACTTGGATTTAAGAATAAGTACAATTAGAAATTATATTTAAAGAAAAATTAACATTGTATCATTAATAACAAAATGATTTGATAAACTAAATGACAACTCATCTTGAATACCTGTTAACGTGTACAGGACACATTCTTCTAAAGATGCACTTGAACCTAGGTACAAACAGCACATCTCAAACTAAAATCCATTTCATATATAAAATATGATGATACTCAACTTAATACATTTACATAAACAGAATAATTATTGTTTAAGAGTGAATGATAGAGATGCATTAAGGTTCTGTCTTCATAACAACTTTTCCACTTACTCGGTGCCTTGTTCAGCTTCACCAATATATTTACACATTATGCAGTCTCCTGAACATTCCAGTTAAGACAAGGTTTTTAGACAAAAGATCATTCCCCTTGACCGGTTTGAAAACTAGACGTAAGACACTGCCTTACAACCAATATTTTTACCTGTCTAGTGTGCAGAGACAATCCACTGACCCTTTGTGTCTAGTGGAAGAGGGGTCAAGTGCACAGAGGGACTAGGGTTGAGTGTCAAAGGTCGCAGATCCAACCAAAAGAATTATTTTTTTCTTCATTTTTTTTCTTGGTGAGAACAACCCACTGATTGTGTAAACGGAATAAGAATGTCTCATGGAATGATGATACATGTAAAAGAAATCAATGAGAATAAAACCTTGTACATTGTGACATGTCTTCCATGATGGCACCAAACAAACAGGACATCCATCCAATAAAATCAGGTTCATCTGTGCACCTGAAAAATTAAATCACCTTTCATACTATTCATATTTGTTTTGATCTTGGAATATGTCTTTATTAACTTTTAGAGTATGTGCTCATTCTTAATAAATTCAAAGCATTTGACCTTAGAGAGTCTTTGTTTCTTCATAATTCAAATCTTGACACTGTTCCAGCTGGCTCAAGTTTAATCACAAGTACCCATGGAAGGGATAATATGAACACTCTCCACCACAAGAACCCAACCTGGTTTTGCCAACCTTGCAGTCATATGCAGGTCAATGACTGCGGGTCCATGACTGCAAGTACTGCAGTCTCACTCTCGTATCACAGGAAGCGTTTGGCACAGTTACTATGTACAGTCCTTTCCCTATGATATGGTGTGCTTCTTGATGCACTGTGTAGGGAAATTTAAGCACACTGTCCATCATTTAAAGCTCCTCCACCAGACTCGAGACAAAGGTAACCAAACTGCAGCAAGAGTCTTGTAAACTTTAGATACTGCTGTCAGTAAGATATAACAGTGTCTTGTCATATAGTCTTCATAAGAATCCATGTCACCACGCTGATTGTCAAATACGTTGTGTAAAAAATGGCTGAACTCAATATTACCAATTACAATCAATTTGTAATATCATATTTGGTCAGAGAGGTCGTTCTAACAATCACTTGACAGACACACAATCCCAGTGCTCCTGATCTGATTTCTCCATTATGCACCACACATGAAATCACTAGTCCAGGGCTGTATTACACGCGTCACCTTTGCCCTACAGGTCTTCGTCTGCCCACAGTGACAGACCTAATGCTGTGTGGGATCGAATAAACTTGAATACATGTATTGGATACAGTGTGACTATGTGAATGTTTTAAAACAATGTATTATTGAGGTACACACTGCTCATGCATACAGATTAATACATTGGCTATACTTCAACTACATTATGGATTCAATAGCATGGAATTCAAATACAATCATTACAAGAGTATGTGTTGCTGACAACCCACTCAGTCACACCAATAAGAAGTTCAATTACAATGGCAAAAATTGCTTAGAAAGGATTCCACACACAGACCTCAAAGCTTTCCATGCTATGCTCAAGCCATCCGTGAACTACCATTATCATGTTTGCAGATTGTACAGTTTCATCATGAGTCCAAACTCCGTGCAAAATTCATATCAATCAGCACTTCGTCGATGAGGACATCTTCCTGGTCACTGGACGTGTCCACCAGCTTCACAGACACCATGCCAGAGCTCTTGTTCTTGTCACACACCAAGCACACAAAGTCCCGTCCCTGGGCCATCTCCATGAACTTGTACTTGGCCGCCTCAGACCAGGGTTTGTTGATCCTCACAAAGTTGATACCTGGTAGGGAAAGGGCACAGTGAGAGACGTGTAGACAGCTACAGATATCCTACCTTGAAACTCCATTAATCGCCATGCCACAAGCATACAGTAAGTGAGTGAGTTTGGTTTTACGCCGCTTTTAGCAATATTCCAGCAACATCACAGCAGGGAACACCAGAAATGGGCTTCACACATTGTACCCATGTGAGAAATCGAACACAGGTCTTGATGGGTGAATGCTTTAACCACTAGCCTACCCAACCGCCCCTACAGTAGGCAAGTCAGTTGGGTTTTAAGCCATTCATATTTGCAGTATATCATGGCATATCAACTGTCTGTGGGAGCAAAGCCCAAAGAGGTGCAGGCTAAATAACATTACAATGACTGCTAGGCAAGGTAACAACAAATACCATCTTTTAGCATATGAGGGATTGAACACGAACCTCTTGGCAGACAAAACTTACAATATAACATCAGAACTGGTGTTTGATAAATGAATGAAAAATAATGTCATTTGACAATAAGTCAATTCGTAAGTAAAAGGATATTAATATAAACAAACGTAATAGAACAAACACAAAAGGTTCTGCTTCCTGCAGTTGAGATACATGCAGTATTAAATAACCATTGTTAGACTGACTGACTGAGTTTAGTTTTACGCCGCTTTTAGCAATATTCCAGCAATATCACGGCGGGGGACACCAGAAATGGGCTTAACACATTGTGCCCATGTGGGGAATCGAACCCGGGTCTTCGCCGTGACGAGCCAACGCTTTAACCACTAGGCTACTGCCCCAATCACCCTAACCATTGTTAGAACAGAGATACTCGTCACCTTGTTTCTCAGGGTTTATTATACAAATATTCTCATTTATGGGTAGTTTGAGGAGCTGTCACAATGCCAGCATCAGAAAGACAATTGACACTGACAAATTCCCCCAGCCTTCATTACCCAGTGTATATGCAAGAACAGAAGGATACTAGAGGTGTAATGATACAATATGATATGTATCCCGAAAACATGGGTGTGATATAATTTATATCCTGATACAGCACTCTTAGTTCATAAAAACATATATGTATTGAGATACAGTAATGTTAACACTATATTGTTAGAAGTTACAACAAGCATTGTCACTAAGGTGACATAATCCCCCGCCGCAAATTATCAAATCAAACTTATAAAGTAATGAAAGTTTCAGATGAAGTTAAATGTCAACAAAAACATTATCTTGGTCTTTAGTTGTTCAAACACACACATATTTTCAAGACTGACTTTGGCCTTGACATGAATGTCATAGTGTATGAAATATGCAAAACTAGTACTAAAGGAATTGCTTATTGAAAAACATTCAAGGGAGGTCTTGAAAGTCTATGAAGAAAATCCAGTGAACCGTTCTTAAAATATCTTGCTGACAATTCAGGTTAATATGCTGAAATCTTCAAAGTGTCGCCATGACCTTGAAAATTAAGTGAAGGTCACCAAAATCGACTGGGCCCTGAGCCTTCCCAAGATAAAGCTTGGTATTGAATATGAAGAAAATCCAGTGAACGGTTCGTGAGATAGCTTAACATGCAGGTAAAACGTGAAAGTCCCCTTGTGACCTTGAAATGAAGGTCAAGGTCACCAAACCTGACTTGGACCTTTCTTATAGTGTGATGAACCCAGGTACCAAATATGAAAAGAATCTAGTGAACGGTTCTTAAGATATTCCAATTCGTACGGACGGACGGAGGCTAATACTATATCCCCCGCTTCGTGCTCAACGCGCCGTGGGGGATAATGAATGTTAGACGTGATGTCTGAGAAAGGATGAAAACCCACTGTTTCAAACTTGGAAGGAATGTCAGTGGTTTCTTTTGATACCCCAACTTGAGCTAAGAATGCAGGGGTTCCTAACTGTAGCAGCCTACTTCAAGGTTCCAGGCCACAACATGTAGTAGCTAAATAAAACTCATCAAGAACACATTGTCTTTCATCCCCAAAAGTATGTTAGTGCAGATCAGCTAAGATCAGGACAATCCTAACTGTGAAACAAGCTTTGTCTGATCTTGTCAACAAAATGGTGAACAAAATGGCACCTTTATGTGCTGATCTATCGTCTTGGCTGATATCTGAAATATGGAAATGGCACATAACATATCTACGTGTTTACATATCACAATATAATATGACAGCACGTTGTATACTCTCCTTGAATCACAGCTTGATGCTATTTCCTAGTGACCCATGCTATTTCCTAGTGATCCCATGCTATTTCCTAGTGACCCATGCTATTTCCTAGTGACCCATGCTATTTCCTAGTGATCCCATGCTATTTCCTAGTGACCCATGCTATTTCCTAGTGATCCCATGCTATTTACTAGTGACCCATGCTATTTCCTAGTTATCCAATGCTATTTCCCAGGTGTAAAACAACATTTGGGGACCAACAATTTCCAAATGAGCTTAATGACACAAACTGTTGAAGGACCAGGCTTAAATTTTACACTAAATTATCACATTATCATTTCACTTGGCATGTCCCAAAATTAGAAACGATTGCAGTTACCTACATGGTCGGTCTAGAGGTATTATATAGGGTAGACACTAGGCAGCTGCTGACACTGACTGACTGAGTTTGGTTTTACGCCGCTTTTTAGCAATATTCCAGCAACATCACGGCGGGGGACACCAGAAATGAGCTGCTGACAAATCACTGGCACCAGATGTAAACTTTCATCACAATGCAGGGTGAGATTCCAGGGGGTTTTCAGTACCTGCATCAAGTGCAACCTGGCTTATAGGTTTAGCTGTACCATCAAGTTTGGTTGCATCATAAAATAATGTGACTGGTTCTCAAAAGTAACATTTATACTTGTTTAGCAATTTTCACAACAAGTACTCAGTATCAGATACATTCATCAGAATGATGATAAATAATAAATGGTTCAATTTTGCATTACTGTTATTGATAAATTTCAATTACAAGATTACTGCTATGTAACTGATTTATGAGCACACAAATATTCATGCTGTAACAAGTCATGTGGAGAGATAAGTATTACTTCCAGTCACGTACTTCCCAATTAAAACACACAATAACAGCTTTAAGATGTTGGAGGATTTATTGGTACATGCATCGGGTGCAACCTGTCACTAAAGGCAACCTGCACCAGCCATCGCTAACAGGCACCAGAGCTTGCTGTAAATAGCGAAATCGCACCCTGCAATGACTCTCTCATCCTCACTACCAGTACATATGATGTTTACAATTACATCTAGGATTGAAGGAGTAACTAGAATAACCTCACCGTGCAACTTGGCTTTGACTGCACATAGCGGCAGTGCATAAAACTGTTCTGGTAACGGCTGCAGATCCTCAATCCCCAGGATGTTGTACTGCCCATAGTCAGGGAAGTACACGGACATCTAAACACAACCAGGTTCAAAGTGTTACCATCAACAACTTACAACAAACACACTAACTAGATCTGCAGCAAGCTGGTATATTTGTAATACTACAAGTCAGACTTAAAATTAACAGGGAAGAACATACCTGTAACTCTAGCGAGATATTATAATCAACAACATGTGTCAGAATGAACTAAGCACTTTAAAATAACAGTGGTTGATTGATCCATGCACTCAAATTACTGCCACAGCAATCCTAGGAGGCGACAGTGCATGTGAGGGCTGGCTAAAATGACTGATAATCAGAAATATCGTCGATAGGAAATGTTTTTAATGATTCTACCATGACTTCAGTAAATACTGAATTGTGATTGGTTAATCAAAGTCATTCAGAGGTATATAATCAGGTTATATACTTCTGATTTTCCAACACAGTATGTATTTTTACTAAATCTTAATAACACGGTTGCGTGTTTGGTTTTAAATCAAAGTTAGAGCTATTAAAATTTCGTTATATACCTCTGATTTTCCAACACAGTATGTTTATCTCCTAATTAACTATTGTGATAAAAAAAGTTTTAATCCTCTCAAACGATATGTAAATTTAGGACTTTATACATGGTCTGTTTCTAAATTATGTTCAGAGCATTGTTTTGTTAAAAATCTATGCAAAAACAAGTCACCACTCACCAGTTCATTTCTTTCTGACATCTTTGCTCAAAGTTACGTCTTAGATATTTATCGTTAATCGATTGATATTTAGTTAACGATTATCGATCACTATGATCTATATCGATAGCCTGCCCTAGTGCAAGCTGAATGTTAGGTTCTCCTAGGTTTTGTATTATCATCTCATCACAGAGGTTATACAGGGTGTTATTCCCAGTGATGACCTACCTGATGCTCTATGATATTCTTTATGATGACCGGTACCAGGCTCCCTCCAGGCAGCCAGCCATCAGCATCCCTGCAGTCAAATCCTTCTCTTCCAGCACAACACGCTGCAGCACAACAAACACTGAGTAGTGATCACAGGCAGGGTACAGGACAACATTCCACAAAAGTCAGAAACAAAGGCACCACAACACACAACATTCTATAGCCAGAAGAGAATCACACAACTTTCAACAGGTGATTCTACATATAGCCAGAAGAGAATCACCACGACTTTCAACAGGTGATTCTACATACAGCCAGAAGAGAATCACACGACTTTCAACAGGTGATTCTACATATAGCCAGAAGAGAATCACACAACTTTCAACAGGTGATTCTACATATAGCCAGAAGAGAATCACACAACTTTCAACAGGTGATTCTACATATAGCCAGAAGAGAATCACACAACTTTCAACAGGTGATTCTAATTACCCTGTTTCATTCTGTTTACATTCCACGACTAATCACAATATCACAACATATATCTTTCTCGTCTGCAAAACTGAACTGCCACAGAATAATGATCTACCTCAAGGCATAAATTTTTACAAAGATTTACAAGTCTTTCCTGAATTTTTCCAGTACTTGGATAGCAGATTTGTGTTGTGTGTGAATCCTGCTTTATCATGTTTATGACATGCTACTGTCCTTACCTTAGTGTGAGAGTTGAAGTGTGTATTGAGATCCTTCATCATATTCTCGAGACATAACACCATCTTGTACGGCGTACACTGCAAAGATATACACATGGTCAGCTGCCTGATATTGCTGAATGTACACCATTGGGGAAGTTGTAGTAAACACGCGTACAAGACATTTCAGTGTTAGCAGGTTCGTCACGATTCAGCAATATATTTATGGAACGTGGATCATCACTCGACTACAGCCACACAAGAAACCTGTCTCGACTGTATCCACTGATCTTCAATAAGGAATATAGACTAAGCTTTGCAATAGCCTGGTCTGATCTTCACACAGGCTATAAACCCTCATAATGACAGCATCACTGTTTGTATAAAATAGAAGAGAAGTGCACATTATGATCTACTTACCCAGAAATTAGTTGGATCGGACACCCACAAAACATGGACATCAAAGAACTCTCCAACACCAGGAATATCCACCAACTCGGGCTGAGGCATTTTTCTCCTGACAAACGCCTTGTTTAACCCCCCATGACTAGATGGAAGTGTGGGCTCAGACTTCACTGTGCCATTACTGTTCCTAGACTGTTCACTGTTAACCACAGCAGTGGGGAACTACTACTCGTCTTGGTCCTCTCCCCTAGTGTCAGACCACCCAGTCTCTGTACAACGGCAGTGTCCCCAGCCTTGCCCTGAGTTGTGGCTGCAGGAGTGTCAGGGCTGGCCATATCACTGCTCTCCCAGCTGGAGCTGGTGTGTGAGCCCATGTAGCTTGCAGCCAGAGCCTCAGCTTCCTCTTCTGTTCCCCATGAATCTGCACTTGTTGTGCTCAACGTCCGGTTGAAATCTGGTTCTCTGTTTGTCTGTATTGTGTTTGTGTCCCTGAGGGCAGCCATGTTGGTTATGGGTCTTGAACTGGAGCTGTCACTCTTTGGGACACAGAGTTGGAGTGTGTGGAAGGAGGCTGTGGCAAGGATGCTGCTGCTGCTGCTGCTCCTTCTGTTACGTTTAAGTTTTGGGGATCCTTGGCAAGGATTGCTTTGATGACAGCTTTGTTGATGTCCAAATCATTGTCATCGTTTGTGTCATACAGGATCACAGACAATCTCTCATCTCTGTAGCAATTAAGGAGACATGATGCACATTATAATGGTGGCATGGTAGTTACATATTTCAATGATCCATGGTATCTCATTTTATGTTGTTTTCAGTGTAAAATATATATGCTATTGAATGCATTCTTACCTTAATGTAATTTCACAAAGTCTACCTTCCTGATTTGATACAATCACCAAATATTGCTATCCTGACTTCCATCAAAATGGTCCAACATGGATATCCAGAGTAAATTTTAAACAATACACACAATAGATCCACCTGAATTATATATATTGGATATTTGGGGATTTGCAGGCTATTGACATCACAGTTCTAGTCCTGAACATACCTGTCAACTATTTCCGTTACAGTCCAGATCTAGTCATGAACATACCGGTACCAGTCAATTATTTATGCTACAGTCTAGCTCTAGCCATGAACGTACCTGTCAACTATTTCCGCTTTCAGTCCAGATCTAGTCATGAACATACCAGTCAATTATTTATGCTACAGTCTAGCTCTAGCCATGAACGTACCTGTCAACTATTTCTGCCACACAAGTCTTGCCCAGGGCCATGTCCAGCAGGCTCTCCAGAGCGGTCACTGTATCTGTCACTTTCTCAAGCCCATTCAGGTAACAGCGCACAGCCTTCAACAACACAACAGTACACTGCTGATCACAGCTGGTGAGTGGGGTGCTTTAACATTAGCACTGGAATCATGGCTGGACAAACCAGTTATTGGCTTTACACATCATATCCTTTTGGGGTATTGTCCATATATATTAGGGCAGCAACGATTCGAGTTCGATTCATCGGAAATCGAATCTGACACGTTAGTTTCAATTTCCGATAACCACTATCACTATTTTGATTCGATATTTGAATACCTATTCAAATCATTTCCAAACAGCCAGAACGCAATTTTGACTCAAACTCGAGCAGTTTCGAGCTGAAATAAGGAGATACATGATTGGTTGACGCTGGGCTAATTATCCAATGAGAATTGTTGTTCATAGACATAGTCAAGATGACGATGGATTTCATGCAAAAAGCGACTCTGATGTTAAATGAAATCTGATGTTTTTACTTGTATGTAGAATCGAATCGAAAGTCCAATATCGAAAACCAAACTGAATTGAGGTCTGGGTGAATTGTTGCAGCCCTAATATATATCTCTACACTATACCCAGCGACCCACAAATGCTAGTACTACATAGTATTATGTGACATAACATAATGTGTCTGACAAGACTGACCCTATGTAGATGTCACTGACCTGATATGGCAGAGAGGTATTGAGATCTAGCGGTAGTGAACGAAGTTGTGAGAGGCTGATGTTCTCGGTATCGCCGTGGTCGGTGAAGTAGCACTCAGCCTTGCCGTCAGTCACTGAGTTGATGAGCACCCGCTGGTACAGGCCGTCCATGCTGGCGATACACACCGCCACCGGAGCTATGAATGTGTCTGGGTCAGCCTTCTTGAAACAGTCCTCCAGCTGGGCTTCAAACACATCCAGCTTGTCCTGGTAAAACAAGATTCAGCCTTTTACTTGATGCAAATTATTGAGCCCCATTCACATACAAATAAAGAATGGACTAAAAAACATGGCACTCTTTGTAATTCTGACAACCTTATCATACTTTTTTACTTGATGAATAGGAGTACAGAGTACAGAGTACATACAGAGTACTCTTCACCACTATCCTGATAGTGACAGCCAGGTCGGACTGATGAAGCACACATACACATCCAGGAACTTGTCATCAGGTAGTAACACAGTCTCTGCAACAAATAAACACAGCTGTACTGCATTCAAACACACTGTTAAGAATGTACTTGTTAGTATGTCGTTTCATGCTGTGCTCAGCAATATTCTGGCTGTATCACATAGCCTGTAAACAATCAATTCTCCTAAAGGCTCACCAATGGACATTATGAGCAAAGTGACCACAGTTTAATTTCAATCCTCACCAATCACATGCATACGCTACTGGGTATATTTAAATAAGGACCTTCCACAAGGCGTGGATTATTTACAGACTGCCACCACATAACTAGAATATTGCTGTGGGTTGTGTTTATACACAAACGTTGCTTGAACAAGTTAAACTTTACAAACTGTGTCAAAACTGAAATAAAAGAATGATACGGTAGAATATGAAGCAGTATGTTAATTCTGTCTGTGTTACACACTGACCTGGTTCTCCTATGATGGAGTCGGTGTCATTCGCTCGGCACCCCAGTCCACCACCTCGCTCTTCACAAGACCCTTCTTGATCAGGTAGTCATTGATGGACATGTCATCCTTGTGTAGTTCAACCTCACATTGACCATCTGGGGACAAACGAAAACTTTATCTACAGACAAACATATCTTCAAGATCATCCGGAGATCGTGCAGAAGTTGTTAGTCAAACTTTCACTTTAACCCTACAATACCTAATTTTCAAACAACATTATATCTGGTACGTCATATGTGGTGTGTGATTGTACAGCCTCACCTGTGTTATAGGCCACAGTGAGGGCCGATAAGGGCGAGTCCTTCACCACCTCGGAGAACTCCTTCAGGGACGGAGATGGTTCGTCTTGGCTCTACAAACAAACACAACAGAATAACTGAATCTACCAGCAACGGATGTAGGAGTCACCATTGTTTCACCAACAGTTCTGATGAGCTTCATGGATGACAAGGTCCCTGGTACAAAATGACATCTGTATAATAATAATAATAATAACTAAAGATTTATATAGCGCATTTACCAGCTGAGCACAGCTGCTCAAAGGCGCTGCTAGAGTGTGACAACGTATGGATATACACAATGCTAGGAATGATGTTAATCATCATGTGGGGCTTCCCTACTAAAGTGAATGTAATGTATGCTGTTTTAACAGATATTTTAACAAGACGTAATGTAAAACGTAAACCATGCTAAAAAGTCATTTGTAATGTTGAAATGGGAAGTATTACAGTCATATGTTCAGTGATCATCTATCAATGTGGAAGGAAAGTCTGAAGTAACACACAATACATGATCACTACCATGATGAACCAATGAAATTTTATATGGTGCTGACACCTCAACAGCTTTAAAGGTGACAATTCAGATTTATCAGCAGATCATGGGCTATCTGAGGGCGCAAGACACTGTAATGTTATTTATGGTGCAGGGAGATCATTGGGCTATTTGATGCCATACAAGATTTTCACCTCTGTGATAGAGTTAACAATGACTGTCCCCTATCTCACCTCTGTGATGGAGTTAACTATGACTGTCCCCTATCTCACCTCTGTGATAGAGTTAACTATGACTGTCCCCTATCTCACCTCTGTGATAGAGTTAACTATGACTGTCCCCTATCTCACCTCTGTGATAGAGTTAACTATGACTGTCCCCCTATCTCACCTCTGTGATAGAGTTAACTATGACTGTCCCCTATCTCACCTCTGTGATAGAGTTAACTATGACTGTACCACAATCTCACCTCTGTGATAGAGTTAACTATGACTGTCCCCTATCTCACCTCTGTGATAGAGTTAACTATGACTGTCCCCTATCTCACCTCTGTGATAGAGTTAACTATGACTGTCCCCTATCTCACCTCTGTGATAGAGTTAACTATGACTGTCCCCTATCTCACCTCTGTGATAGAGTTAACTATGACTGTACCACAATCTCACCTCTGTGATAGAGTTAACTATGACTGTCCCCTATCTCACCTCTGTGATGGAGTTAACTATGACTGTCCCTATCTCACCTCTGTGATAGGGGTTAACTATGACTGTCCCCTATCTCAACTCTGTGATAGAGTTAACTATGACTGTCCCCTATCTCACCTCTGTGATAGAGTTAACTATGACTGTCCCCTATCTCACCTCTGTGATAGAGTTAACTATGACTGTCCCCTATCTCACCTCTGTGATAGAGTTAACTATGACTGTCCCCTATCTCACCTCTGTGATAGAGTTAACTATGACTGTCCCCTATCTCACCTCTGTGATAGAGTTAACTATGACTGTCCCCTATCTCACCTCTGTGATGGAGTTAACTATGACTGTCCCCTATCTCACCTCCATGATAGAGTTAACTATGACTGTCCCTATCTCACCTCCATGATAGAGTTAACTATGACTGTCCCCTATCTCACCTCTGTGTCTGTGGACAATGATGCTGTACAAGGCACAAGGGATTGCCTGAGCTGCAATGCTGGCTGTTGTGTCGGGCAGCTGCGGATGGAGGACACTGGGGCCGGTCTCAGTATTACCATAGTCCAGGAACTTCACCTGCACTGACTGGAACAGGAAAAAGGGCATTGAAATTCAGTGATCACACTAAGTAGTTAAATCTAAGACCCATGCATGCTTTCAGATGGCTTTATTAGAATCTCTTACCCATACATTATTTCATTGTCAAAATGCATAATTCCAATTACACAGTACAATATTCATATAAATAATCAAAGAAGTCTAGTACAGACAAAGCGAGATGAGGGCCCTTGAGATGAAATCAGCCCATTCACCTGACATTTCCATCCACTGTGTCACCTCCTACCACCAGCTTACTGTGGATGTGTGTTCTAACTGGGACAATACATCAACAACAACACGACATATTCTGGATGACATACCTGTGCAGTGATGTCCAGCACTTCGGCTCTGTACCAGCGTTAGATCCCTCGGTATAGAGGGCAGCACAGAATGTCCTTTTCTTCAGCATACTGCTCTCAGGCACAGCCTGCTTCTGATTAATGCAATTAAAATACATCTGTGTAGTCTTCTGATAAAACAAATTGCATCCCTAAACAAAGCAATCTAACAGAATATGTTCCCCAATATTATAGAAAGTGAGTGAGGGGTTAGGGTTACACATCATCTGAATACAGCACCTGTATGATGAGAGGGTCACACAAGAACTAACTATGGATCAGGGAAACCAATGGCATATCAATCAAGAGGAAACTAATGACACAATCAGGGAAACCAATGACACACAAATCAGGGAAACCAATGGCATATCAATCAGGGAAAATAATGACACAATCAGGGCAAACCAATGGCATATCAATCAGGAAACCAATGGCATATAATCAATCAACAATCAGGGAAACCAATGGCATATCAATCAGGGGCATATCAATCAGAAACTAATGACAAACCAATGACATATCAATCAGGGAAACCAATGGGCATATCAATCAGGGAAACCAATGATGCAAAGATGAGGGAAACCAATGGCATATCAATCAGGGAAACAAATGACACACAATCAGGGAAACCAATGGCATATCAATCAGGGAAACCAATGACGCAATCAGGGAAACCAATGGCATATCAAGGAGGGGAAAATGACCCATGGCATATCAATCAGGGGAAACCAATGACACACAAAAAGGGAAACCAATGGCATATCAATCAGAGACACAATCAGGGGAAACCAATGGCATATCAATCAGGGAAAATAATGACACACAATGAGGGAAACCAATGGCATATCAATCAGGGAAACTAATGACACAATCAGGGAAACCAATGGCATATCAATCAGGGAAACTAATGGGAAACACAATCAGGGAAACCAATGGCATATCAATCAATGGAAACCAATTACACACAATCAGGGCAACCAATGTTGAGCATGTTGAGAAATTTGTTTAAAATGACCCTACCGATCTTGTTTTTATTGTTGCAGAACGGCTCAAACAATGACACAGAATCAGTCCTTCATTTCAGTCATCACAAAAAGAACAAGGAGTATGCACATATATATTATCATCATGGAAAATATCTAATGTCCAAAGGAGACAGTGATTGTCAAGAGCTGGTGGTTAAACATGACACACTAGGGACACAAGAAGCGTGAAGTCTTACAGGACATTCCTTCTCCAGCTTGGCATTGATGTCATCTATGCAGAGTCTTCCTTCTGCACAAAGAAGCTGTCTACTCTAAGTGCAAATGTCACATAAACTGTGACCGTCTCACTGAAACAAATATGACAGCGGTATGGCATTATATTGCATCAAGATGAATAGATCCTGCTATTTCTACCTATAGCCAGAAAGGATTCCATGGAGAGTATATCTGTGTTCTAAAGTGGTTTACTTTGGGAGAGATCTAATCAATGGGTAAAGAGTGGTGAGTGAGTGAGTTTAGTGCAGCTTTGGCAATATTCCAGCTATATCCGGCAGGGGACACCAGAAATGGGCTTCACATATTGTACCCATGTGGGAGAATCGAACCGAGGTCTTCGGCATGATGAGCAGGCGCTTTAACCACTCACGCTACCCCACCAATGGGTAAAAGAAATGAACAGGAATTGTTTTAGAAAGCCAGCATCTGACTGACACAAGTACATAATGAACTTTATGAACTAAAGTTCAACCGATTCAAATTTCCTCAGGTCTTGACACACACAGGGACTGTATCAGAGTGATATTTGATTTAATGAGATTGTAAGATCAACAACCATATTGGCACTCACCCTGGGTCCAACAGCTCTGGTTCTGGGATTGTAAAGTCCTGTAAATATGATGTACATGTATCATCACCAGTAAACCCTCTGAAGTTCACTTCTTTGCCAACATAATATATCACAGCAATGTCATCAACAATTTAAGACTATGTTTCCGCAACAAATGATTCAGAATAATATTGGACAATATATCCAGCCATACAGACCTGTCTCTTGATTAGATATGTAATTTTTGAGTAAAATTGATATTTTATACTTATCCTGACTCATGCTCGTTTGCTTGTCCCCTTCCTCTTGCTAACATAGTGGAACACTTGTATCTCCTTAATTGAAGCCCCTTCAATGTAAAATCACTAATTGGTACTCACCCAAGAGTTGCTCCCCTGCCGCAAAGCTGAACAGGTGTCGCCACCCTCTGGCCTCATGCTTCACTCTCTCCTGATTTTTCTGAGCCCAACACTTGAATTTACAGGGAAAATCCAAAGTGTTATGTGGAGGATGGGAGGGAGGCTAACCTCATGAGTCAGGATAAGTATAAAATATCAATTTTACTCAAAAATTACATATTTTTCCTTATCCTGACTCATGATCTGTACTGTAGAATCCACCGGAGGTGGTGGGCATAAACAGAATACTTTTGGATTAATAATTAGTGATTTAAATAACTTATACTGTAATAACCCCTCTTTTGGAACTTCATAAAGGTATTGACTTAGGATATTTCCTTTATAATAAGCCATAGGTTATATATACCATAACTGGGGTATTACATTACTAATAGACTGATATACCAAATTATAGATATAACAAGCTACTCTGATAGAGAAGCTGTACAACTGAACATAAAACTCAGTATGAGCTTAAGGTTGAATAACCTAAGCTAAATATATACATAGCCCTAGAACTCCGTGGAGTTATAAGCTAAATAATGTATGTATAATATACATAATAATCTCGTGGGGTGAATATTAACGCCACGAGGGACTGTCAGTTGCTGAGCTTGAGGACCAAAGGACCCGAAATGGTGAATGCCAGAGACGCCCCTCGGTGGTGATATCTCTCAGATAGTGATTAGCAAACACCATGTTAGATTTCCAGAAGCATCCTTCCATAATTGTATTCAATGAACAGTTACCGTGAAGGGCGAGGGGGTGGAGGCCAATGCCCTGATTTCATGTGGATTTGATGCTGTTGGAGGGTCCAGTCCTGCTGCCTTGTAGGCGCGTAGAATGACAGTTCTTATCCATATAGATATGGTGGTACGAGAGACTTCTGTCTGATTAGTAGGCTTATAACGGGATGAACAATCTTCTGAGCCGATCTTCGCCTTTGTTTTGGAAACGACGTAAATAGATTTTGAGAGCTCGTACTGGGCATAGAGATAAGTCCAATGTATCTTGAGATCCGAGAATCGAGGATAAGCGCAGGGACGGAAATAACCTGTCTGGTTGTCCTGGTAGTTGATTTTTGGCGATGAAATCCCATCTTAATCCCAGGTGCTGTGTTTTGATTGTCATCAAACTGTATCCTCTCATAATCTAGAGCCGCTGAATTTCAGATATTCTGGCTGCGTGGCTAAGCGATAACAGGAAAATTGTTTTCTGTGAGAGAAATTCAAAGGTTGTCGATTCCAATGGTTCATAATCCTCACTTGTGAGGTGTTGCAGCACTACATTCAGATCCCAAGCTGGAAGTGGAACTTCCGCTTTTGGTCCAATCGGAAAGCACGTAGTAAGGCCAGTAACTCTGGTGTTTTTGTCAATTTAACACCCGCTCTCATAGAAATCACAGAACTAAGCTGCGGCAAGATATGTTGACAATGTCGAGCCTTTTAAATGTTTGTTTTGCCGTAAGTAACACAAATAGTCTGCCACTTGAGGATGCGTAGTATCTCTTGCTGTAAAACCCTTTGTTTGCTGCATAATTTTCGAAACTGTGCCACTTGTCGTCATTACAAGTTCGCATGCTTTGACATGTAGATTTAGATCTTGGATTAATTCAACAGTTGAAAGGTTAAAGTCAAAAGGTTTGGCGATCTCGCTGAGCCTTGCCTGTTCACATAGAACGCCACTGTCGAAGTTGTCGGTATGTATCATCAGGTGCGATTCTGTAGAATGTTGCCCAATGTCTTATGGCGTTGATTACAGCTTTCATCTCTAATGAGTTTATGTGCAGCTTGCTTTCTAGCTGATTCCATAATCCTGATGCCGTCTGGTTGGTGAGATGAGCTCCCCAACCTTGGAGCGGTAGCGTCTACATATAGATGGGTTTTGAATTCCTGCTCTGCTAAACAGATCCCTTCGCAGACATTCGATTTCTTGGTCCACCATAGTAGATGAGGTCTGAGAGATGTTCCGGTTGTAGGTCGCCGAGATGTGTGTTGATGAAGACCTGTAAGGGGACGTGGCTGTAATCTGCCTATGACTGTCAAGTCTTGGGCTGATGTTAGAAGACCTAGTAAACTCTGCCATTGTCGAAGTGGTAGCGGAGAGAGTAGGGCTGGAGGAATGATCTGTTGGATCTTGAGCCAACGGTCTTCTGGGTACTGACTATACGGTTGAGATTGGTGATAAATCGAATGCCTAGGAATTGCAGATCTTGCGCATGGTACTAGGTCCGACTTGTGTAAGTTTACTAACCATCCCAGCTGTGTTAGTAGCTTTATGATGTAGTTTAACTGTAGTTTGAGATGCTGTGGATCTTGATCTACTTGTATCCCGTCGTCGAGGAAGAACGCACTCGTAGCCCTTGACGATGTAGATAGGTGACAATCGGTTTCGTCATCCCTCGTGAATAACCATGGGGCTGATGTTATTCCGAATGGGAGTACTTTCCACTGGTAATGTAACCCGTCTAGAGTAAAACCGTAGGTATTTCCTGGATTCGGGATGTATAGGGATGTGCAGATAAGCATCTTGTAGATCTATACTGCCCATGTAGTCCATGGACTGAATCATGTGCCGTATCTGCGGTAGATGTATCATGTGGAACCCGGTGGTCTGCGTAGATAAAGTCTTGTTGAAGAAGCTCATGTTGTAAATGAGTCTGTATTTCTCCTTGGAGTTTTTCTTGGGTACTAGGAAAACTGGGGGAGTAGAAACCTGGTTCGATGTTTCCTTGATCTATTACTTCTATGGCCTGCTTGGTTAGGGAGTAATGTAGCAGCCTCTCTTAACTTTAGTAGTTGCTGTGCCTGTACCTCGAACTTGGGAGGGTTGACTGTTAGTGGAGGCTTGGCCTGTGAGTGGGATCACGAAATCCAGCGTTGAAGAATGTTGGAGACATAGGTGTCTTGAAGTATTCCCCAGTTTTCCCAGTGTAGTTGGAGGCGTCCACCCACTTGTGTGACGGTTGTACACTGGAGCGGCTGGGGTGGAAAGACTCCAGTGGATCCGAACCTGTCTTTCAGCGTTTATAGTTCGCGTGGAACCTCTGGGTGTCCTGCCTCTTCCTGACCCTCCTCTATAGTTGCCATATAGGGGCTGAATTTTAAAAGAATCTCTTCCCCTGGAACTGGCTATCTTCCTGTCTCTTGCTCTTTGTAGGCCCGTGAATTTAGATCTCCCTGAGTATCTTTGTAGTCAAGTCTGTCGAATGACACTGGCTACGTGTCCATCGATTTAATCATCAGGACTTCTCTGGAATCCTTTGGTGACTTCCTTTGGAGACTTTGTCTATTCCTCCGTCAAAGATGGATGGGGAAGACCACGGGCTGTATATAGTGGAGCTGTAAAGTTCTCACCCCAGTTGCAGGAAGCGAGGGAGGCCTTGACGACGAAGCTAAAGGTCGAATGCTGCTGAGACAGACGTGAGATGATCTGTTAAGAACTGCTGGTCCTTCTTTTGCATCAGTAGGGCGAGTAAATCATTCTATCATCTTCAGAGGTCGGTGTTCACTTAAATCTGGTGATAAGTGTCTCATTTATTGTTCTAGATCTATTTAGACCAAAGAACATACGCAGCCTCGTCATGGTTTCTATCTGAACCAATTTTTCGATCATCAATCTTGTAGTACTTGTTCTTGACATGAGGAGATCAGCTTGTAGTTCTCATCGATGTCTTGCGCTATGAAGAAGGGGTCCATATTATGCGTGGAGAACTCCTTGGCGTGAAAGTTTGGCAGATGTGGTGTTTGAACCTTCATTGGCTTTGTTGAATGCTGTATCTAGGTTCCTGTGGTACATGCTTACTTAATCCGAATTCGATTAGGGGGTAGTGTAATAGCATCTGCATCGTCTTCTTTCATCAGATAAGTCTGCACCAAATTGCCACTCTTGGAAGGTGATGAGATTCTAGATTATTTGTTCATCCAATATCTTATCTCTGCATCTGAGAAAATAATTCCTCCATCATCTTCCATTCCATCATCATAAATGAGAGGTTGTTGCTCTTCTGATGTAGGACTGTGTGGCTCTATCTCTTCTATATCGTTTGGCGCTTGTGGAGATCTAGTTGTAGGCTTATGTGTGCAGACCTGTGAGGTGATCGGGACGTGGTGATGTAACGTGGAGATCGGCGTGGTGATCACGCGGCGATCGTCTTGGTGATCTATTAATGCGATAGGTGATCTTCTTGGCGACCTATGAGGGACACGTTGGTAACCAGCCTTGAAGCTCTTGTGTAGTCCCTCGATCCTTTTAGATGATGATGGCGATCTGGTTTCATGTAACAGCCAAGCTGACGCCTTCGCTAAGCTTCCTCTGCACGTCCGGTCCTGGGGAGCGGTGATATGACCTTAGCGAAAGAGCTTCCGTGAGAGGTCTGATGGTCAGATTCCGTGTGATCTGAGTATGGCCGCCCAAAGAGGGTGATGATCTTTCCGCCCCGAAAGGCCGAAGAGCTGTACATCTAAGGTCCCTTCGTGGAGGTGGTCTGCGTGACTTCCTTCGCAGTTAGCGGCATTAATGCCGTGGCTGCACTTTCGTTGACTGTGGGTGCCTCTGGGGTGCTGTCTACGTTGGAGCCTTCGCTTGAAGGGCTTCCCGGACCCTGGGATGGCTGCTTCTCCAGTCTGTAAGTGGCCTTCCATCATGATCATGATCTGCTTCATTAGAGTCGTCTGGGATGATCTCGCGGCGTAGTAGATGGTACCCCTCTCTGCGCCTGATAAGCGGTGGGGGCCCTCCAGCATCTCGTCTGACATCAGTGTAGAGGCATCAGGCTGCATGGTGATCTCTACTGAAGTCACTGTCGCTGTCACTGGTAAGCCCCTCTTGTAGAAGTATGTCGAGATTATGATGATTGGTTGATCATCAGTCGAGGCCCAATTCTGCTGCTGCGAGCGATCTCTGCTGAGAGAAGTTCGATCACGCACTGTGATTTCCCTTTGGAGGATGACGGCTCCCCGGAAGTACCGGTCTGAATATGCGTTGAAGACGCTTTGAAGTGCTCTCTTGGACCTTATCTATGCGATGGCGGAAGGATGTCTGGGGGAGTCAGGTCGCTTCTTAGAGGTGACGGCATCCCACGCCCCTCTTCGATAGGGTCTCAAGCAGAAACACCAGATCGGAGGGGACGCCGACAGCAGCTGACTGGATGGGAAAATCCAAATACCGGCCATGTCTACACCTAGTCGGCGCTGGATTCACATATCTGCAACACGCCCCATGACGCAGTAAAGATGGTATTTATTAAAGGCAGAATTATTAAATTTACCACGTAACTGTAACGTGAATCAAACGCAACGCACAAGGCGTAGTACAACTAGGGTATACTTACATGCGGTCCGCATGCGGAAAAGCGTAATCTACAAATAGTACAGTTTTCATCAACGTAATAATTAGCTGAACAATCACGAACTCAATGAATAAACAGTAGAAATACGTTGATTAATTATCAATGCAAATTAATGAAGGATACTAGCTATGCACCCTTATAGTAAAACTATAAGAGGTAACTAACTAAGAAAACCAAAGGATATAGTGTGTGTAAGGAGACACGAAGGCGTCTCATCCCATGCTCATACTGGGCTAAGAAGGAGAGAGTGAAGCATGAGGCCAGAGGGTGGTGACACCTGTTCCCGCTATGCGGCAGGGGAGAGGCAACTCTTGGGTGAGTACCAATTAGTGATTTTATACTGAAGGAGCTTCAATTAAGGGAGATACAAGTGTTCCACTATGTTCGCAAGAGGAAGGGGACAAGCAAAAGAGCATGTGAGTCAGGATAAGGAAAAATATATAAACACTTGTTGATAAGAAGATAACATTCTCGACATGCCACAGTTCTTGCAACGCTGATCAATTCATGTCAAAGACACTTTGGCAACATTCTGTATACAGTGGACTCTGTCAATACCGCCTCTCTTAACACCGCACTCTGTCTACATCGGCATGCAAAGTTTCAGTCCCGCAGAAATGCATCGCTATTATCATTTAGAAAACCTCTTGTAAACATCGCATCTGTCTATTCAGGATATCGGGCATTGTTTTTCAGTCCCAACGTAACAAGTTGTTATGAAAACGAATCTGTAAAACCGGCACATGAAAGTATGCTGCGAACCCTTTGATGCAATTAGGTCCAAAATGATGTAACAACACAATTCAAGTTGACTCCTGTGATTATTCAGAAACGGAAGTGTTAATCAGTATCTTGTTAATCAGTGAGTGTACGTAATGCGTAACACTTACATAGAGTAATTAATACATGTAGCGGGTAGTTTGACTGTATAAACAAGCAGGTTTACATTTTGTTGATTGGAAGGGTATTTACTCCATTGATTATTCAGAAACGGGAAGTGTCAATCAGTTTCTTGTTAATTAGTGAGTGGCACGCAAGTCACTACATAGAGGCTAATCGCTTGATGATGCGATGCGTATCGTTGAAGCTCTGAACATCAACAATATCACTGTACTCTTTGCCGAGTATTTCACATTTGTAAGAAGCGATTTTATTGATAAAGATTGGTTTCCTAACGACGCTTTTCACTACACTCATATGCTTATAAGGGTCGCGATTGGTCAAAATCAGACACGTGACCCAAGCAGCCAATCATATTATGGGAAATGGATACCCGCCCTCGTAAACGAAAAGTCTTTAGATTAAGACGAAAAGTTTTGGGTAAAATTAATGCTATTCTGAACATATTAAGAAAAGACATCGCTACCTATACGAAATCATGGAACGTATTGGACATATCGCGGCTAAGGTTAAGGCTCATGACAAAATGCTTCACGCGATATATTTTCACATTAAGCATCGTAGTGAAAGCCGAGATGTAACTTGTCAGTGACTTGACTTACTATTGCATGATCAGCTTCAAAAAGAATGGAAATAGTACTTTTATATGAATGCTTGACAACTTCTTTATGAATGTTATTGTTGATTTCAATTTATTTAATGATTTCCTCGACAAGTTTTGAAACATCGCTACTTTGCTCTTTGACAATGCTATTGTGAATGGCCACTGTCAAGCATAAGAAACAAGAATCGTTAGTTTCGCAATAACATTACCGAAAAATAGTTTATAATTTTAATTTGCCCGATAATATATGATCAGTTGAATTTTAATAAGAGATTTCAGACATTTTATTTGATTTAAACAACATGAATGTACATTCAGACACTGCCTTGTTTCTTATTCAAACATCTTGTTAATGCTAAAGTGACGAGCACGACATTTTGAACTTCCGTAGCGCAGGGCGCATAAGCTTAACCTAGCTAAACCGCACTCTGTCAAACCGGCATTTTACTCTGGTCCCCGACTGATGCCGGTATTGACAGAGTACACTGTACATCTTTTAACACAGCCCAAGTGGCTGATAATACTTGATACAAACCTTCCACTTGACAGGTTTAGCCTCTAACCAGCTTCACCAAGTCTCGCTCTACACACTCTGGAAATAACAGGCACACGCTTAGAAAGACATCCATCAACATACCGCAAGGAAGTTCACATAGGACAATGTTGGATCAGTCATCGGATCGCCATATTGGGTCTTCCGCCTTTCCGGGCTTACACAACCGGATGATATAGTTAATAGTTCTAGCCTACACCACTTGAGTAAATTGTGAAGGGAAACTCATCTTTTCTTCTCAACCAGAGGCTTGAAGGGCTGAACATTTTAAACACTTTGTTTACAGCTTGCATGCAACTAAAGTCTTGCTACTTGTCAAATGGGGGTGGTGGGTAGCTCTAGTGGTTATAATATGTTCAGCCACAAGTGCCGAAGAAACAGTTCTCAATTCTTGTCAAATACTGAACCTGCCTCTATGGTGCATTCACATATCCATTTCTGGTGCAACATAAACACACCTGCTTCTACCCATATTTTAGTGTAATAATGATCACAGGAGTGATTGAGTTTAGTTTCATGCTGCACTAAGCAATATTCAAGCTATATGGCGGCGGTCTGTAAATAATTGAGTCTGGACCAGAGTGAGTGAGTGATTGAGTGAGTTTAGCTTCATGTCTGACCAGAGTGAATGAGTGAGCTTTAGTTTCATGCCGCGACTCAGCAATATTCTAAGCTATATGGCGGCGTCTGTAAATAATTGAGTCTGGACCAGAGTGAGTGGAGTGATTTGAGTGAGTTTAGTTTCATGCCACACTCAGCAATATTCTAGCTTTATATGCGGTGGTCTGTAAATAATTGAGTCTGGACCAGAGTGAGGAGTGAGTTTAGTTCAGCGCCGCGACTCAGCAATATTCTAGCTATATGGCGCGCGCAATTGAGTCTGGACCAGAGTCTGTAAATAATTGAGTCTGACCAGAGTGAGTGAGTGATTGAGTGAGTTTAGTTTCATGCCGCACTCAGCAATATTCTAGCTATATGGCGGCGGTCTGTAAATAATTGAGTCTGGACCAGAGTGAGTGAGTGAGTTTAGTTTCATGCCGCACTCAGCAATATTCTAACTATATGGCGGCAGTCTGTAAATAATCCCAGTCTGGACCAGACAAATCCAGTGATCAAACAGCATGAGCATTGACCTGCACAATTGGGAACCGATGACATGTGTCAACCAAGCCAGCGAGCCTGACCACCCGATCCCGTTAGTGGCCTCTTACGACAAGCATGGGTTACTGCAGATCAATATTCTAACCCAAATCTTCACAGGGTATGATTACAGCAGAATGTCCCCCACCCAACATGTACCTAAACAATGCTTCGTGTCAAAAGGGAGGACTAGAAAAAACACTCACTTTTCTATTTCAACAAGGTCCTCCCATGTGCCAATCTTGCGCTCAATAAATGAGCTGGGGCCTCTTCAAGAAACTTTTCCTTAAACAGAATAGGGATCCAGCAGCCCCACAGGCCATTAAGGAGAGGATCCAGGGTCTGCAAAGTCATCATCAGTTCATCAAAACTTGAACTATATTATACAACATCATTTATCCAGCATTGTATGTTATAATTATTGAACCACAGAGTGAGTGGTAGTGAGGAGGAGTGTGGAGGTAGTGAGTGAGAGAGTGAGTGAGTGAGGAGGAGAGAGGAGAGTGAGAGGAGAGAGAGTGAGTGGAGTGAGTGAGAGAGAGAGTGAGAGAGTGGAGTGGAGAGTGAGAGGAGCGAGTGAGTGGTAGTGGCGAGAGAGAGAGAGAGGAGAGAGAGAGAGAGAGAGAGAGAGAGAGAGAGAGAGAGACGTGTGATGAGCGTAAGCTTTATCTGCAAGGCTACCCCACTGCCCCCCCTTAAAAGAGCTGTCCATGGAGCGATGGAGATGGTATAGTTACCAATGGCAGAAACTACTGGATCATGGCATGTGAGTTGAAGATGGAAGGAAGGCCCAAGGTGATACAGTCTTACATGTGTACCACTAAGGTGAAATGGTATGGTAATGGTGACCATGGGTACAGTGATCAAAACTCGAGAAACATAAACAGGGCCAATCTGGGATACAAACCTATATTGCAGAATCTTGCAATGGCTAAGGGACACAACTCTGTAGAACAAATTACACACTGTCTAAAGGCACAATGTCACATCACACTTCTCAAAAAAAAACCAATGCATTTCTCTCAATAATACTACCTATCAGCCATCAGAGAAGCTGCCCCCAAAATTACGTATTTAGATTACAATATTAAATTAATAATTTCAGATGGATTACTGCAATTAAATCGACTCTCACGTCCTCTACCAGCCAAACATTATTTCAAGCGAACCCAATAGAGTTATGTCCCTTGGAGCGATCTTTACGAATATCCCACGCACAACTTTTAATTGAAACCAGTGCGGCAAACACCGACAACCCTTCGTGCGACAGTTGTCGATGTACGGAGCAATCGTTTACATTCCATATATGGCAAGTGTTCCCTGTTTGGAAGTTGTTCGCCTAGAAGTTTCAATTATCAATTTCAGGCAAGTCGTAAGGGATAATAAGTCTTTTATTGCATCAATAGGAAGCTAAAGTGAGTGCATATGTCGAAATAGTGTCGAAAATGTGTGACATTGTGCCTTTAAGATCATAGTATTGTGGTATGGCTAAGGGAAATGACTCTTTTAACAAATTACGCTTTAAGATGACTGAGAAGAATGAAATCCCAAATACTGCCCTTAATAAAGCTGAACATTTCTCCACAAAACTAGACCTTTCATTATAAACATACTTATGCATCCCAAAGAAACATGTGGCCATGTTAATTATAGAGAACCTGAACCTGGAGTCTATTATCAGGAAACCCTGGCAACATGACTCTCGTAGGACATGCCTACCTCTCGTATCCAGTCTCGGAGGGCAGTATCAGACACGGCCATGCTACTGCTGGCGGCCACAGGAGATGCATCTGGGTGGAAAACAAGGCTACAGGACTGAATGTATACTGACAAATCAACAGTGACAGTAGTCCAGTTATTTCATACATGAGTCATAATCATTGTGGGTTTAATAACATAAGGCACTGACCTTTACAACTTTAGTAAATACTACAATGACACAGTTTGAACTTGTAACATGTGTATGCCCAATCATACACAGGGTTTTATATAATGTAGAAATGTGTACATAGTACTGTACACACATATATAGAGGATCAATGCAGAAAAAAACAATGCTGCATCCTAGTTTTTATCAAACTTTGGCAAAGCTGTTTGAAGATATTGCCCTAAAACATTTTTCTGTGGTAGACTTTCAAAAGAACCAAGATTCATGGCTTTGAATTTTCAGTGGTAAGACTCTATGCAGGGATGAGAGTGGGTATGAGTGAAAAAGGAGGAAAATGAGCTGGGGGTCTTGGGGGTCGCAGGTTTAGACGATTCACAAGAATGACCCCTGCACGATCAAATCCACGAAATTCCGCATATCCACAAAATATTCTCATCCTTGAATGTGGTAAATATCAATGAAGGGGCTACACCGCCATCTATCTACCGAAACCTTTAGGTACACATGTACCTTTGTCCACTTCCAGGGCATTGCAGGCATTCTTGGCTGCTACATACTCAGCCTCCTGTGCTGTGGCAAACAGATCTGAAACAATATCACAAATGAGGTAAACACAAATACAATTTCTTTTTGATTAAACATCTCAAACAATCTTGTTTGTAAGAAGTAACCAATCATTAAGAGTCAGTGAGGGAATATGCTAAAACACCAAGAGTGCATTATGTCAATAAAGAGCAATTGCAGATGCAGAAGAGGGTTGCATAGGTCCTATTTTTCAGAGACCTTAATCCTAATTAAGATAAACCTGTAGAGGTTTCCAATTCTTTGAAGAGAATTGTCCTTGGGGTACATATATACATATATATATATATATATGCATTTTCTACGGCTGAAAATGTCACGTGACAGTTGTATGAATGTTTTAATAAAAATATTGTACAATAAATAAAGCCTTTTTCATTTATTATACGGCCCCACCACATGGAGTTACCTCCCTGCCACGCATGCGTTGGCCAACCAGGTAAGCACCCAGACCCATATCATCATTCCTTCTGCTGAACAAATCAGTGAACAGAATTGCGGGGAGGTGGGCGGCCCTACCCCAAGGACGATTCTCTTCAAAGAATTGGAAACCTCTACAGGTTTATCTAATTCTTTTTCATAGAATTCATCCTTGGGGTACATATATGCATTAACACAGACTCCCAAACACCGGAGGCTAGGGACGAGGGAATTCTGTCACAGTACCAAATAAATAGCGATCACGTAAACAAAACACTCACCCTGTCACGTGTTGTGAAGCTGCCACGAGAGGCATTATGACCAGACAGGGAGGAAACGTACTGAGGACCAACCTCAACATGTTAAGCAATAAAACACATCACATAGTGTGTAATGAAAACCCCGCCCAGAGAGCACCGTAAAGGGGAACCACAACTTACAACTGAATAACTCATCAGAGAAATTGAAAGTTAGAATTCAACAGCGAATATGTCAATTAACACAACAATTGATCTCAGCATCATAAAACCAAATAACCAAGACTCACTCGGTCAGGGTGGCAGGACACTGTCCACCAGAGAGAACAGATCGGCCAAAGCGTGCTCGATCACGGGAATGTGTCTCAAGCTGATAGTACCGTATGAAAGTGCTAGGCCAGCTCCAAATAGCAGCGGAGCAAATCTCTTTAATGGGCAGTGCCGCTGCAAAAGCCTTTTGATAACCTCCAGGGTATACGTTACGATCACTCTCCACTATACCCTGGATGCATCCACGGCTTGGCCCGATAATTATATTACCTCCCTTTGCTGGCTCCGCATTCTCACAGTAGCCAATGAGCTAAGCTGTCGTTACATCCAAGCTTGGCAGTGTCAACAAAGATAGTGGTCGCAGTCGCAGTCGTGAAAGTTTGTTCGTAGTGCCACTCAGATTTTTTAGGAAAAAATACAGACAAATTGACAGACGAATCGGAGCTGAGAACCAGCGAGCAACAGAACCACTACATCCTGGATCAGTGACGGAAGAATGCGGAGCTGCATCTGTGAAGGCTGCAGAGGAGCAAATGCCTCACCCAGCAGGCGGAACTCAGACGAATCAGACGGCATGTCGACACGGCAGCTTGGGGTAACATCTGCGCTATACGCTGACGCACCTCACGCAAAGCTGACGAAAAGCAGAAAGCTCCCTCGGACTCCTCAACCTCCCCCACATCCATCAACTCGGCTCCCGAGCCCGAGCCAGAATCCGGATCCTTCCGAAGAGAGGACCTGAACCCCTACCCAGCGGAAAGCTGAGCTGCAGACGACAAGGGAAGGGAAGACCCCGAGACACCATCCGACCCGGACACCGACAGCACGCCAGGATCCCAGTCCCGAGACACAGGAGGTAGCACAGGCAGAACTGGCTCTTCCGCTCTCATGGGGAAAGTGGGCGCAGGAACCGGAACACCGGGAATCCTCAACAGTCCCTGAGCAAGTACCAAGAGAGGGACTGGGTGTGAGCCCTCCCTCTCTGGGGTGGCTGAAGCTCCCAGACCCGAAGCCAATGGCAACAGATCTATTCTACATGTACCTCAAGGATGACAGATCTAGCCGAGTCTGGCGATCCGACCCCTGAACTCTCCGTCTCCTGACCAGAGCGAGCAAGAAACTCCTGCCGGAGTCCCCAAACTGACTCATGGACGAGAGATTTCACCGAGTCCATATGTTGCTGAAACATCTGTTGTATTAATGATACAAAAGGTTGAGATTCTTTAGAACCTGAGGATTTGGGTTTGCTAGGCTTCCTTGCCTTTTGTGGAAGCTTCAGACGGGTCCCTCCTCCCTCAATTCCTTAAAGAAAAGTCAGCAGCTTGCTCTTTTGCTCTGCGACATGCAATAATTGTACATAAAGCAATATTTCAATCGCCTGATGTGGCGCCAAATAACAACACAGCAATAACACACATGTAAAACACGTGAATGCGACAATGGACATGTAAACATAAAACGTTTATTGGCAAATAACAACACGCGTGTAAAAGTCACATAAATGAGAAATAACTAACTGCAAAGTCAAAAGCTCGTTCTAAAGAACGAATAAAGACCATACATACAGTAGTTGAAGACTCAGACATGGTAATTGGTGAGCACAGTCAAAGCATGTGTGAACACAATGCGTGACAGCAGAAGGAATGATGATATGGGCCTGGGTGCTTACCTGGTTGACCACGCATGCGTGGCAGGGAGGTAACTCCACGTAGTAGGGCCGTATAATAAATAAAAACGACTTTTTTTATTGTTCAATATTGTTATTAAAACATTGATACAACTGTCACATGACATTTTCAGTTGCAGAAAATGCATATATGTACCCCAAGGATGATCTCTATAAAAAAGAATCTGTCATTTGTTACAGAATTGGGACTAAATATTGGCCTCTAAGCAGGTCTAGATTAATCCCTGCAAATCCTTAATTCAGCTACCATCAGTACTGCATGTCTACAAATCATCAAAATCCATCTTTCATCAGCAAATCTATGTTCTGAGAAAGTATCAGAATTGTCACTATGGTTTCAACTACTTACCAATACTGGCAAACACCCTCCCATCTACTTTCACGGAACTGACGTACAGTCCACTCTTGGCCTGGGTGGTGTCAAACTTGATAGGAAGCAGGTTCCGTTTCCAAATGTACTTATTGAGCTTCTCCAGGTAGTCTGTGCCATCCCCATAGAACATCATCTGGACAGGTAGGGGTAGGGGAGTCGGCAGCCCTGGGGGTGAGGACAAGACGAGGGTCAAGACACAGAGAGGGAAACAGAAACACGGGGTGAAAAGCAGTAACTACTAAAACTTACCAATGTCAGATCACAAATGTAAGTGTCAGTTAGATTTGATTATGAGACAATATTTGTCCTGAGGTTTAAACACTAAATAGAGAATATAATATATTCAAAGAAAGGTTAATAACTCATTAATTTTTAGTTCTGTATACATGAATCTAGTTCCTAAAGTGGAAACCTACTGACACATACCATGCAATACTATAATACTTTCTTTCTTAGAAATCACTTATCTTCACTTAATTAGAAATCACAGACTGATAGAATAGTATACAGCAACAGTGTACTATCACTACAAGCAATTAATAGCACACATTAAACACTGTTAAACTGAAATGGTTATGATATTTGTATTTCTGTAAAGAAAACAATAAGGTAAATATAATGGTAAGTGTGTAAACCTTACTGTCTACAATAGAAAACGAATTGAGGTTATTAAAACATGCTTAAATAACTGCCATCTATGGAAGTATTTGTATAAGCTTTGTGATAGACAAAGGATGTCTGAAAGTACCTTTGGCATAAAAGGAACAGCTGTAAGAACAATTGGGCTCAATCTAAAACAAATCAGACTAGAGTTCTTGCTACCACAAAACAAAAATCAGAGGACATTATCTTTACAGGATACAGCACTAACAAAACTTTAACAAATTAACAAAATGCCTGACAAGAAGTCAACATAAGCCAGTCAGAAAGCACCTATAGTTTCTGACGGAAGGAAGGTTGTACAAAAATTTAATGCAGATAATTTCAGCGAAACTGTCCTTGTGACAACACAAAGTTGCTGCAGTCTCAGAAATTAATACCATGACATGTTTCTTTTGTATGAATCATGTGAAAGCTAATTTCTAATTTTAAAACAGTACCTTGTAGAGACATGCTTATCACAAACAAACACATAGGCTTAATATATGACATTGAAAGTTGTTGTTGCAATAAGTAACACCTGATAAAGATACCATTCGAAACATTCTGTGTATCACAAAGGTTACTTATGGAAGGTGATTCTGCATCAACAACCGGCAGATCAGGTTTCATGTTTTATATGATCTCTCCGAGTGAGACCTAGAAGTTTGGAATATGATGCTGAAGGGGTTCCTGTCCCCAAGTGTTCAGTTTCTTGGCAGCACTCTGCCTTTATTTCCTAGTAAAGTATTCCTCACTTGTCCTCATTGTGTGACATCAACATGGACTACAACTCTCCAGGGGAAACAGACATCAAGGAAGTACTTTATACAAACCTGGGAACGGCTCTCCTAATCCTAATAAATCGTGATTCCGGCGAAAACGTGGTGGAACTTCAAACTTGTGCCCAAATTTAATACTGTTCTGTAACCAAAACCCATCTTGTTAACAGTGTTTCAAACATACAACAGGCAGAAATGAACAAACGTGTATGGCCTTACGTCAGACAAAAACATGGTCTCCAACTGGACACACCTAGTATCTATGATCATTACAACTGTAACGATGTACATTGTTTATTTCAATAACATTTCAAGTATTATCTTGATAAACTATCCTGATGCAACTAAATCAGCTCTTGTGTCACACACATTCTTAGTTTGCAGACAAATTGAGAATTGACGAACCGGTCTCGGCTGTCCCTGGCAATCCATCACTGCCTCAGACACTGCCCTCATTATCATACGCCCTGCTCGGGGTCTTGGACCACCATACCCGGCACCAACCATCCTACTGCCAGCAGAGTTATGCAGTGTGATCTGGAAGTTGTGGAAGGCTTCATTACTGTTCATAGGGGAGGAGGGTGGTGATGAGCTGGACCATTCCTCTGGAGAGGACCTGGGCAGTGGCAGCAGAGGTGCTCTATGTACTTGTGGAGATGATACATAAGGCCGTGGATCAAATCTCCTAACTGCCGCATAGTGAGGCTGATGAACTGGAGGTCTTGAGTACCCGCCTCCCTGAGGTTGGTATGGAGGTGTGTACCCCCTGCCCATTGGTCGGTTGCCAAAACGGAATTGGTTCCTCACTGGTGCCTGGAAGAATATTTACTCATCATTACTACACTATAAACTAAAATGCACAACAAAAAATAAAAACTGACCTAATTTAAAAGATTGTTTCCACAATCTTAAAGATTTTTTAGGGTTTACGAATAGATCTAATGTACATGAAGAATATGGCTGTTAGACTGTGCAATTGTTGAATAGTTCCAGTCAGAAATGTTGTGTCTAAAGATGTCAAAAGATGGTACATAGGGGATAAACAAAGGACAGGTCAGTTCAGAGTGTCTGAGTGGGGTATCCATGTGGGTCAGCACTGTAAAACTATAAACACACAAACATGTATGCACATGGTACAAAAATACCAATAAATAAATATAACGTTTAATATGTCATTAGGCATGCATGCACAATATAAAAGGGACATAATCTTTAAAATCACATTAATTCCAATTCGACTCCCCCATTTTAAATCTATGGTACCATTTTTCAATTCTCTAAATACTTTGTCACAAATTCAAATCCAAAGATGACTGACTGAGTGAGGTTGCATTAAGTAATATCCTAGTTTAAAATGCTAAAAAGCAATTTCACAAACCTTACCATATTGGGATTCAAACCTGGTCCCTCGCTGTGAGGAAGCAACTATGAAACACAATGCCACCCTCTGCACAGGAAATTAACCAAACATTTCAACTATCCCAAGCAGTGATAACGTAGAGCAATACCAGCTCAAATGATTTAAATTCTACCCACTATTAGCATACCTTCAAAATAAACATAACTGGCCTGGGCTAATAGTCCTGATTTCCAACCATGCTGTCTACCCCTCGAACCATGGTAATTCCTTGCCCCCTCACCTTCCGGAGTGGCCTCTTTGTCTTCTTGCTCCTCTGTTTGGACACCAGCTTCTGGATGTGGGCCGTGGTTTCATCTGCCACAGCATGGTATATTTCCTCCCCGCCTTGCCTGAATCATGAAACAATGGTATCATCATGATCATCGCCATGCATCCATCAAGCTACATACACACACCTGCATCCTCTCAATCATGTTCATGATCAGGACTCAGCAACATACCTTCTCACATGTACAACGTCGGGGATGGAGGCGATGAAGTCGGAGACGCTGCTGAAACCAAACTTCTTATACGGCAGGTACTCCCCAGTCACATCACGGTAGTCAACTGCAGTGTACAGAGAAACACTGCAATAACTTGCTGAATACTTCAGTCTCATCACTTCTAATATCACTTTTATTACCACAAGATCATTTGGACGTGTTTGATTCCCCACATGGGTACAATATGAAGCCCAATTCTTGTGTACCTCGCCATGATATTGCTGGAATATTGCTAAAAGCGGCCTAAAACCATACTCCCTCACTCACCATCTTAAATTAGTCGTGCTTGATTTTCACCACAATGTTACCAACCAAGAGAACATAAGAGGACAAAAGGAAGCATAGGTTACTCATACTGCCCAGAAACCTAATCATAATTTCCATTAAAAAGAACTTTGAAACCTTCCTGTTTATGATTGTTTTTCCTTTTGTTGAATTCCTTGCAAACTCGATCAGAATGAATACTGCCAATTTCCATGTTGTTGATATTGCTTACCAATAATGGAGGCTGCCTTGTAACTTGCATTCTGATTGGTACATCAGACCCAGTTACTAAGCAGCGTACCAAGCCAGATTGGCAAATGGAACTTGAGGGCAGGCAATTTGAGATAGTAAAGACCACACGAATGGATCCTGCAGGCAGCGTAGGTTTTACCGAAATCATAGATTTATTGAGGAGAAGTCAACTTTGGTCTAATGTTCAGTATGAATTTCTGTCAAATATATATGTCAATACCTCAGCAATATCATGGCAGTAAACAGCCTCACACACTGCAACTTTATGAGGTATCAAAACTTATACTTCAGAGTGGAGAGCAATGCCTTGACCACCACATTCCCTAACAGGCCAGCCTGGCCAAGTCATCATGCTACCAGGAGTGGGGTGGCCTTGTGGTAAAGGTGTTATGTTGTGAATTGTCTCAGTTTGATTCCCCACATAGATGTAATGTGTGAAACCCAAATAAAGGGGTTGCTTGAATAATGCTAAAAGCACCATAAATCTTACTCACTCATCAGATCACACATATTTTTTTAGGTTCTGGTCACAATATACCACTCTGATACATACTCACCCAAGAATCTCTGTGATGCGACACCTTCCTTACAACTGAGAAGTACACTTCTCAACATCGCCTTCACTTGTTTTAGTTCCCCTTCGCCATTTTGATTACTTTTTCTCTCCTTGAAAGAAAAACAGAATCATAAACACCATAAGGCCATACTAAAGTAATGATAAGAATTTCAGCGGCTTCAGCTCCACTTACTAAACACAGGCCACACAATAATTCATTTTAAACAGGACCAACAAACAAAACGACTGTGTGAGTTTTGTTAAGTGAAGAATCATACCAAACATTCATGTACAAATATATACTGACGACTCATAAACATTTGTTAAACATTTTGACAAAAATCATGTAATTAATTTGTTCTGAATTCATCAGTGAAAATGAAAAAATTCAATACATCCAGAAGTAGTCTCTCATACCTGTTTCTTTAAGGTGATTCAACAGTGTATTTCCAATGAATCTCATTTGTTGGACAATGAGAAGTTTCTCACATTGTGATATAAAATGTCTTTGTAATTTGTTTGTATTTGCAGTATTTGGTTCAGCACTAACCATCTGTAATAGAAAAAACACACGTTTACTTACATAGAGAATGTCATCTGAATGTCTATCTTTGTCTATGGATATCAAAAATATATATGCAAATCAATAAAGTTCATATTAATCATCCAACATCATTTTTCACTTTCTGTTTTCAGACAGATCCATTTTTATGATAAAAGTATTAGATCTGACAAGTCGTAAAGTGGTGTTTGAAATATAGCATGAAAATTAAGGTGTTCCTGTAAAAACACTCATTATACAGGTTGAAGTTAATCTGGGGGTCAACTGATTCAGTACTATAGAAGCAAAATTATAGGACGAAAACAAATCTGGAAAATACATAATTACTGCTTCAATGCTATAAAGAAGAGATCATATAATAATCATCATATAGTCTCTGTATAAAGGAAATATTTTCTTTGAATGATAACACAATCAATCTATTAATCATGTGTTTTTCTTCGACCATCAGCTGAATGTGTCCATAGTCCATGACAGGTAAGTAACACACACTGCAAATGGCAGGAAAGATAAAAACAACACACACAAAATCAGTTTGGCACTTGATAAGTGTGATTGACAGAAGAGGAAACGTGGTTAGAAAAATCTGCATCAAACTAGCCCACCAGTATATTTTTTCACTCGAGAAAAACAGCATTGTGTGTATATTAGTTAAAAAAACACATTTTAAAACACCATTCTAAACTGCAGGTAGAGTCTGTTCTAACCACAGAGCGACGTTCTTAGACAAGTTTCACAAAGAGTTCCATTAACATGGTTTGTAGAAGCGAGTTTGCTGATATTTACCCTGGTCCGTGAAACATTAATCATTTGAAAAATACACACATACGCATCACAACCAGTCTCTTCAATAACATATAAACTTCCAGTTTGCCGCCATGAAAGTTGTAAACATCAGTGACAGCGATCTTGTTATGTCGTTCAATACTGTTTGCAAAGAGTGACGGGCTTGTTTTCTGACTCAGTTACTCGATTTCACAACGCACTTATGTACTGAACTATCATTTGTGTCGAATTAATCGTTAACATTTCTAGAAAACAAGGAAATACTTAGGTCTACTCCCCATCTAATGCCGGACATCGTGCAGAATGAACACGAAGGGGAGTAACTCTAAATCTCCAAAACAGGTGGTTGACCACTAACAATTTGATCAACAATAACATAAGCACAATTTACTTCCTAGGTAAAACTGAGGTAAAACTTCATTTATTCATTTTCATTCAACGTTCAATTCAATTCCAAATAGGACATTCGATGCCTACAGTTAACTTCACATCACCAAGTTTGTAAGCATTTACCAAAGAACATGCTCACGCTGGAGACCCGGGTTAGATTCCCCACATGGGTACAGTGTGTGAAGCCCATTTCTGGTGTCCCCTGCCGTGACGATGCGGGAATAGTGCTAAAAGCGGCGTAGAACCATACTCACTCACTCACTCACTCACTCACTCACTCACAAAAGAACATGCCATCATACCAATGATTAAAAAAATCGTACATCAGTTCGTCACATGCACATAATGCTTATGTAATTCCGTTTTATACCACATAGGCCGATTTTTGGGTGGGGTGTTTGCAGGGTCCGCACACACACACACTAACCCCTTGTCCTGAAAATTTATTAATTGACCATTGGAACTCTCATAAAAATTAAGTGACCCCAGAGCAAGCTGGTCAGACTCTGCTCCTGGACTGTGGACACGGGGACTGGGCTGCTGTCCACCTTGGCAGAGTGTCTCCAACCCAAACAGTATGACATAAGGAAGTGTGGATGCCCAAATGTGTCAGAATATCCTGGCCCAAGATTTTCGAAGCTCTCTTAGAGCTAATATAGTAAATTAATGTTAATGCACCCCACTTTCTCAGGAGTGTGCACTTTCCCAGCTTCGATTGCGAGATCATGTTATTTGTTATGTAGAGTCTAGTGCTATTTTCCCAATAAAGAAAAAAATACCGCAGCGTTAGTGTATGAATATTCTTAATGTGACGTCATCAATGGAATGACGTCATAATCAGTCGACCCTCCAAGATGTACCCACGTCAAAGCTGTCCTCTATTGATTGACGACTGCTAGCGCAATGGGCTGTAATCAGTCTGTCTGTGTCAGACCCCGGAAAGGGAAGAAGGGCTGGGTTGGTATCAAGAAACAGACTTTGGTGGAGAAATGGGTTGCACTCCAAGCCTGGATGAGTCGCTTCAGGAAGACGCGAGTTGTACCCATCACAATCAAACCACCCTCACCTCGGCCAAAGTCCGTTACAGGTAGCGTGCCATAATTATTTTGCTTCAAATGTATATTCAAAGACACTTTATGACTTAAATTGCGTTCTGTGCGATTCACTTTAAATTGTTCAATTCAATCTTTTAGCTCATGAACGTAGCATGAACAGTTGCAGTTAATGTGGAGGAAAGGATTTAATCTGTGGTAGTGAGCCACACCACTGTGAACGCGCTGTAACATAAATGTCATTTTCGTGAAAAGGACTGGTTAAGAAAAGGGTTCGTTATGTGCTAACAAATGAGGGAATGTTTCAGAAATGGTTTTTTAAAGTCTTCATGATCAAACATTTTTCAAGGTATGTTTTGAACTTAGAACAATGGGAAATGCTGCTGCTGGTGTTCGAACTGTGCCTTAAATTAATATCGTTAGGGGATCTAATGTCAAGACAACGAAAGTCAATTTGGAGAAAATTAAAAATTGAATTCAAGACAACGAAAAAAGATACTTATCCAAAGTTTCGATTACCGAAAAATGGAAAATAAAACTATACAGATATCAGATAGACTGAGCTCTTCAAAACTAATGAAAAGCATAGACAACTCAAATCAAAGGTAAGCATGATAAACAGACTTCCATGAATGTCATTGAAAGGATCTGGAAACAGTTGTGGTATGTACCCGGCGACTGTAACCTTGAGGCACCATGGGTCCGTGATTACAATCATGCAATGCATGTTACATCACACCAGATTGCCTGAAAAAAAGTCATTAAAAAGTCAAAGTGAAACTCTTCGTTATTTCTGAACTGTAGGCCAGATGCCCACAGTACACGTAAAACAGTTATAAGGGTGAGTGGTACAAGCGCGTTTGCGTTTTAACAGTGCATGGTGTATAAACGTAGCAATTCTCTGAAGGAGCTGGACATTTTCGGTTGACGTTAGTATACAGAATTTGTAGAATGTCATTAAAAAGTCAAAAGATAATTCAGCAGCAGGGACTGATGGCATTCGAAACCGGTTTTGGAAACTGTTCCCTTGTGTCCAAACACCACCACTTCACTGTATCAATTCTCTCACGGATACAGGGGATGCAAAGGTCGCACAATACTCCTTCCCAAGAATGAAGATTTGACTGATCCCCAAAACTATCATCCCATAAAGTGTTTGAAAACATACTATAAAATCTTCACAGGATATTTGACAAACCCCGTGTCATCTTACTGCTCTTCCAATGATATAATCTGTAGATAGCAGAAGGGATGTTGGGAGTGCAAAGGTCAACAACTTGTACAAACATATATTTTGGAAGATGCTAAAACATATCACCGCAACCTCTCCATGTTCTGGATTGACTACAAAGAAGTATACGATTCTGTCGCTCCTGAATGGGTTCTGGAGTCTATTGCGCTCATTGAACGACTACTTCATTTATTCAAGTTTTTAATGCGTTGCTGGTCGACCCAACTTGAGATGTACTCGCAAGGGCAGGTGCAGGCTTCAGAGTCTAGTCCAAACAGAAGGTTAATATTAAAGGGGGACTTTGCATTGCTTTTAATGCTTTGCTTTGCTTAATAAAGAGGAGGGTTACCATACCTGATCTCCACAGCACAGATCCCAACCCCAACTAACTACATATGAAATTTTATATGTTATGATAAACATACTTTACTTCATGTTCTGAAATCTAAACATGATAATCAAGCTAATATATTTACTACATTTACAGGTGAGATAGGATCTGTCCACAGCATCCACAGCTCTGAACAATGCGATGACGTCGATGAATGTTCAAGTCCGATAGCTCCCTATGACCTCCCAGTGTCGACGGTCGCTCAGTGGCTCGTGCAGCACGAGAACACCATGGAAACCAGGAGCTACTCTCCTGACCCAAGCAATCCCGACAGAAGGGTACGTCCAAAGGCTGCTAAAGGAAGACGAACCGTTAGACCACCTCTGGAATATGAGAAGGTAACTCTCATTGGGGCTATTGAGGAAGTTGATGTGGTTGCAGACAAAGTTCAGATGAGGCGGGAAGTAGAATCGGCCAGTCAGATGGCAGCATCGTCGAAGCCACCGACAGCTCAGGAATGTTTGGAGAGATGGAAGAACAGGAAGCTGAATGAGGAGATGGGGAAGGGGGAGATCTGAACCAGTAAACGTGATGGGGGATGGGGTGGGGAACGGAATGGAGGGGAAACAGTCAACATCCGGATGTGTGTTAACTATGATATCGGACATGAGCAACCAGTGATATGGAATATGGTATCCATGACATTGAACATGGGCTATTTGTGACACCGGATGTGCGTTATTCATGATATTGGACATGAGCAATCAGTGATATCGGATGTGTGTTATTCATGATATTGGACATGAGCAATCAGTGATACCGGATGTGTGTTATTCATGATATTGGACATGAGCAATCAGTGATATCGGATGTGTGTTATTCATGATATTGGACATGAGCAATCAGTAATATCGGATGTGTGTTATTCATGATATTGGACATGAGCAATCAGTGATACCGGATGTGTGTTATTCATGATATTGGACATGAGCAATCAGTGATACCGGATGTGTGTTATTCATGATATTGGACATGAGCAATCAGTGATATCGGATGTGTATTATTCATGATATTGGA